ATCCATAGAGGCCAGAGTTTTGAGATGGATGCTAGAAAGAGCCCGGATTGCTGTTGATACTTTAAAAGCAATTGCAATTGTGACTAGAAGGCAAAAGGAAAGCAATAGACCAAGCCTACATTCTGAAGAAAAAATAATCATGAACCAAGTGTGGGTATGAATGCAGCCAATCAGGCTGAGAAATTAGCAGGCACAAAAGAGGCCTATAGTACTTAAAATTAGAAGAGGTGATGCTTGCTACAAGCATCATGTTGGAGAACTTGGCTGAACTAGCTCCAGCGTTTAAAACTGCAGAGTGGCAAGTTCGAGCTATTTGTCTGCATTTTCTTCTTGGTTCATATGTATATGTGAGTGCATGATGTGCACCCACGTGTATGCATGGACACTTGGGGGTGGGCGAATGTGGGAGCCTGAGCTCAGTGTCCGGAACACTCCTTGAGCACTCCACCTCATTCTTTGAGGCAGGGTCTCTCCGTTAAAACCAGCCCTGACAGACAACCTTGCTTCTAGGATCCACATTTCAGCCTCCTCAGCCATGCCCACTTCACATGTATGTAGACAGGATGTGAATTCACCAAATCTCACCCGCAGCTGAGGCTATTTCTAAGCAAAGCCTTGAAGGGAGGGCTTGTTCCTTCTGATTGTTTTTATAATAAAATGTGAAAGGTAAGAATCGGAAACAATGTACATGAATTCGAAAATGTGGAGAATTCTTGGCTTATCCATGTACCATAAAATGAGAAACCTTTTTTCCTGAAAAGTGTATTTGATGAGGGAAAACGTTTAACAAGGAGGGATTTGTACCTGTACACAAAAGTCAAAGAAGCTGCAGAAGAGAAGGATGTTGATAGCCTTGCTGTCCCAGGAACTGCAAAAGGAGACAAAATCAAAACAAGCAAACAAAACCTGCTTGCGTGGAAATCCCCAACTGAATCTTGTAGTGGGAAGCAGCAAGGAGTCTGCACATTTGCCTTGGTGACCAGGGATGGAAACTTTCCTTGCGGTCTCCCCTGGAGAGACAGAGACTTCTGGACCTGACTTAATTAACTTGTGGTAAATGTTGGTCGTTCTGCTTTTCCCCCCAACTCCTACCTACACCCAGCCAAAAGAGCCAAGGAACCAAACCAATGCCATGACAAGTTCCTAATAGTCCTGCCAGGGAATAGGCCTCAGTTTGGGTTTAACTGAAACTGTCCTTGGAAAGACCACAACTCAGGAGCAACCAATCAGTAAGCATCCCCCTCTCTAGCCCCGCCCTGCAGCCTTATGCAAGCTTGAGATACCTAAAGATAGCTTCCCCCACCCTGCTGCTGTAAAGTCCCTAACCACCAAGCCACCAACCAACCCTATATCTTGGTGTTTAAACCCACCAATCAGTCCCAAGACTAACTTCCCCTGCTGGAATTCCCCTAATCTTGCTAAAAAGGAACCTGCGAGCTTCTCTGAGGGTTGCCATTTTGCTCATTTGCTGAATGGTTTACCCAGTATGCATGGAAAAATAAACACTCTTGATGCGTACGTGACTGGGGGGGTCTTTTTGTCGCACTCCTTGTGGACCCTAACATAGCTTTTACAACGTGTCCCTGGCTGGCACTATTTTCACCTTATTTACATACTGTGTCTCCATGCATGAGGGGAAAAATTGCTTTATTTTCTTGTTTTTATAAACAGTCCCCATTTAAGTTGAATTCAGCCTTAGAACGCAGGAAAGACAAAAAGCACATAGCAGAACACAAGCAGAAAACAAACAAACAAACAAACAGACATCAATTAAAATTAGAGCAAAAGGAATATATGCCTGGCAAAAGAATGTTATGCAATTGCAGTACTGGCAGAACAAAAACAAAAACAAAAAAAAAAAAAACAAAGGAAGAAACAAAAAAATAAAAATAAAATGCTCCTTCCAGTACTGTTTAAATCAAGAAATTTACAGACCCAGGCTGAAATTTTGTAAGAACAAATTGCTAGGAATCAGGAACACTTCCAAGAATTTACAACACATACTATTCTGTGGTCAGAGCAAGAAAGCAATATGTACTATTTGCTTTGCAGGGGAGTAAATACTCTGAAATAATGGACACAAAACCACAAAAAAATTATACTTATTGTATTTCAATTTATTTCCATGTAAATTGGCTGTTACATGCTGGGTTAGTACAAATAATTATAAAAAAAACAATAATTAAGTGCATGGGAAATATAAAAATAAGTGCTGCCTATTAGAATGCATGCCTGTTAACTACAAATCTTTGGCTTGAGAAAGCACCATGTAACTCCCTATTTGAAATCTATCTGGCAACAAGCTCACTACCAAAAAAGCATGTTTGGTACTGAATCAGATCAACCCACAGAACACAAAATTGACATTTCAGAGGTGTATGTATGTTCAGCAACATACCAACATATTTCAACAACCATTAAATGTCAAGCATTACTCATATGGGATATTAACACATTAATGTTTTCATTAAAAAAGAAAGATCTCTTTTCTCATTACACTGCATGGCAGATCTGTCAAATAAATTATTGCAAAGTAGTTTAAGCTAAACTTTATAACACTGAAATTACATAATTGAGGGCGAATAACCTTTAAAATGAAAGACAAATTGCAAAATTTAAGGGTATTTAATTTGCATAAATGTAACATTAACAGTCCTTTCCTAGTTACGAAATATGTATCTGCCATTTTAGGTTCTCAACACCTGTACAGGACAATTTTGTTTTTTAATGCTATTTTCCTAGATGGCCTTAGAAAAATAGGTCAGCATGCTGATAGAAACATTGTAACACTGGAGCGGACTTGTAGCTTCTATGTTCTCTGTTTCTTCTTTGAAACAGACACTTGTGTGTCTAAAACTTATATGCAGTTCTTGAACTCTTAAAAGTTAATTCAAGAGACTTTCTTTGGGTAAACACTCGTGGTCTTGAAATAAACTATAGGGCAGTGGACTAAACACTGTGATTTTTGTCTTGTCTGTGAATGTAACATTAATATTTGACACTGAAATTAATGGTGTTAATTTCTGTTCATTAAAATTACACTATATACTTAAATGCACTCAAATGAAATTTCTCAGACAATGCTGTCTCAACAGTAACAACAAAACAAATCATCAATCATTAAGTATAATGGTTTTAATGTCAGCCATGGTCCATAGTCTACAACAAATTTAAAATGCCTACGGTGCATGAACTCAATTATAGGGCAAACTTTCATAGCAAACTATCAATTTATATGTAACATAATATATTTCTTTCATGATTCTATGGCAAGGACCAATGGATTAAGGGTAGAGCATATCACCATCATGCACCTTTATAATGATGCAAATGGAGGATGCAGAATAAAGAATGAAACTCCTTTTAATAAGGAAGTTATTTTTAATTCTCCTTTGACCTCCTCATGGAACCATATATGATAAACAGTAGTCACCTTACTTGTTACTAACCAAATTAGCAATGAGGACACTATGGCTCTGGGAACCAATACTGTTCTTTTTAGTTTGTTCCAGTAAAAATGAAAATGACTATGAAAATTTGGAACACTATTTTTGCCTTTTTAATTTTATTATTTCATCTTACCAAAGTCAGAGGTATTAAAATGAAAGCTCATATGACTGTTTACCACACACTTGTTAAGGAATATTTCAACATGTCACTTGGGCAGGAGTTACAATTTGCTCTTACAGATGCCCCTTGAGTACCACTAGATGGCCAGTTTTTAATTTCTATTTTAACTTCTTTTCAAACTCTCTTTGCAGTACCTGGCTTTTCTTAAAGTATTAGTCTCTAGAATATTTTAAATGCCATTAAGAGCTTTAACTATAACTTATGGCTTCTAATTAATTTGTTAGAAATTTTTGGAATTGCATACTTGTATATAATTAAAAATAAAATATACAAGCATGAAAAATAGTGTTTACACTTCTATCTGGCCCTTAGTGTTGTCAATTATCCCGTTGTTTCGGTAAATTTACAGATAATCACATCCAAGCTCACCTCTAACAAAAGAAAATGGGAATATGCCTGGGAGACCTATCTGCCACCTGCCTGTCTGCAATCTGTCTATCTTGGTATAGATAAATAACCTATACATTTTATTGACGTATTGTCTCTCAAATAGAAAATTCACAATTTCTAAAGTTAATCTTGTACCAAAATAGCATAAAACCATCCTACTCATGATATTTGTCGCCTAAAAGATCCTATCTGAAAAATGTTAGATGCTGAATTCTCATGATCTCTGACTGTAATAAAAATAAGGCTGAAAGTGGGTGGCAATGTATAGCTGAGACTTATCTGATCGGATGTCCACATGGCTTTCAGTATTCACAGCTAAGCAAGCAGACTGACGGAAGAACTCGGTTTTGTTAAAACACCAGCTCTCTTCCACATTCGAAAGCAGAGCAGAATACATGAACAGTGCCAGAGTAACTGTGCTGACAGGCATTGAGATCAGTCTCTTCCAGTTTGTCTTTTTTCCACATTGCTTTATTTCCATGCACTTCATTCCTCACAGTATATGGTGATACTTATCTTACGAATGCCTAAGTGACTTTGGGGTAAAAACTATGGGAAATGGTATATTCACTAGCTTCCTTTTAGGTACTAGTTAGATGATCTTAATTATTTTACAAATGGATTATAAATAGTTCAAATCACTTCTGATCAAAGTGTTCTTCTATTTGTTAGCTTACAGCAAAATAGAAATAAGACCATATAAAATACTCTCATAAAAGGAGATAAAAGTGTCTTTACTGTTTAATAAACTAAAGCTACATGTATCCTATATAAAATAACTAACTAAATGAATCTGTTTATTAAGAAAGATTAGAAAAATAAGGAGTCAGCAAGCCTTGGTTATGCAGTCGCTAACCCATATCATTCTAATAGAAAGAGGTCATATACAGCATCTATACACCAAAATTGTGCAAAATGCCAATATCTGGCCTCTTCAGGGCATTTGCTGAAGATGAAATGTACACTTCATCACACGGGCCTCAGACTTCACTGTGATCACTGACTTTGCTCAAATTCTAAAAGAGAATAGGAAGAAATAACCACATTAGTCACGTATCTCCTCATCAGTAGGACTATAGCAAAAGAGTGGCAGTAACAGAAGCCAGCCACAAGTCATGGTATGAAAATGCACGTCCTCAAAGGTGTGAGAGTACAACAATTGGAGGAAGCTCCAAATCCATGGTCCAATGGCGGACTTTTACAAGCTAAATGATGTAACTTCCTTTGGCCTTAATTTTCCTAGCTCTAAAAAAATGGCTAAATGAGAGTATATAGTTCACATGGTAGCAAATTTACTTAATTAATATGAGTAAGGTCTTTAGAATATTCTAGAACTCAATTTAGAATATTCTAGAACTCTAGAATTCAATATCTAGCAGGTAGATACTCAATACCTGTTAATAATGATGGCATTATTTGGAACCTACATACTGTTCTGACTGAAGATGACAGGGTCACTGTAGGAAACACTAATGCTGTCCTAGAGAAGAGGAAGGCATAAACATATATTTAAAATCTATAGTTAGTATTTCTACATTAGGAAAATCCAAGATCAAATTTAAGGCTGTGGACCTTAGAAAGCCATCAAGGCAAAGAATCTGCACTTGATAGGTGATCAAATTAAGCCATGACAACATTAGAAGATACAAATGATTTAGCAAATATTCACAACTTGCCCACAAAATGGAATAGAATCATTCCTTTATTTACAGTAAATGTGCCAGGGATTACACACACACACACACACACACACACACACACACACACACACACACACACACCCCAGTAGGGGGGAAGCTACTATAATACTTCCATAGCCCTTGGTTTTGTATGATAATTTTCCTTACAATTATCCAACTCACCTTATTGGACTGAATGGTACTGATTGCAGCAGGTACTGAGTCAAAAAAAATTGGCTTCTCAGTGTCTAGGTCTCCACAGGATGTCATTGCTTTTATCAAGGACGCTGCAAGAAAGCACAGCGTATGTAAAGACAAGGGGAGAAGCAGAGGTGGCTCTCTGGGTGGCAGCCGACCACACACTCTTACCTGAGCAGTTGGCTAAGAACACATCGACACCCCTGCTCTTGCAATCGAGGTAAAGCTGGAAGGAGTACAAGAGCACACTCTGGGTTAGTTCGGGTTTGGGGTGGGGAAGGAGGATAGTTCCCGGGGAAAACAAATGATAAAATACAGTGTTTCTGAAGTCAAACCACCAGAGGGAGGCATTGTTACATAGTTAAGGACGTGCCCAGCGAGGCTAACAGATTCATACAGTGCAACATTATTCCACAGAGACTAAATTTAGCTGCTCATATTACCATTTCTTTAGAAAAATTAAAGCGTTTTCTTTTCTTCCCCGTAAGAATGATACAAGATTGTTATCAACGTCTTTTATTGAAACTGAAGGACCAATCTGTGGAAGTGATGAAGGCTGGTGGCCTGCTAACTTTAATACTTTCTAATACTTTAGGGATATTTCATTGGCTCAGTAAATCCCAGCTATTAAACCTCATTATAACCTGAACCAATTTTTCCAGTTTTAAAAAGTCCATCATGGTGAGGAATTCTAACTGATGCTTGAATGCACTGGGACTTTGACTCTTAACCTCCTAGACAACTCAACCAGAAACAATTTATGAACGATTGACCTTAAATTCAGAAAGAGCAAAGAAGACATAAAGTTTACCAAAGGGTTCATTTACAGTTGGATGGAGCTGGTTATGTGATAGTGACACATCTTATATACAAGATACAGACAGCAAGATTTACAACACAATCTAGAATGTATTTTAACCATGTACATTGTAGATACATAATTTCTCTCATCCTTCTCCATCAGTAAGTCATTCTTTCAAAAGGAGACATGTAGGCTGATCTTAGTTGTACCAATTTGAGTATAAGTGAAAAACACAAAATATGAAACATGGGCTCTAGTTTTGACATTGAGTGAGTGGCTCCTGCTTCTGTAAGTTATCGTGAGTACTTCAAGGTGACCCCTCAGTGTTGACTTTCTCTAAAGCCCAATGGAGCGCAAACACTTTGTGATTGTGGGTGACTTGTTGATGTTGATAAATAGCCTCCAATTCACCGACCTCCACCCCCACCCCTTCCCCAGTGAAAGAATAAGTAGAAGTCGCCCAGTTCCTTTCAATCCACAACTCCAGGATCAATGCTTTGTATGTTAAAGTAACTAAATCTAGAGGGATGCTACAATTCAGGGAAGCGGGCATGGCTGGAGGGACACAGCTGCTCTCAGCTCCAGACTCTGCCCCAAAGTAGCTGGAACTAAAAAATAATCTTGCTACGACTGTGTGTGTGCTTGTGTCGCCCATGAGCACATGAGAACACATGATGGAGATTTTAAAAAATGGATCTGTTCATTCTTTCATGATTCTGTAGGTTCTAGGGAATCAACTCAACATGTGAGGCTTACCTGGAAAGCCCCTCTACCCACCGAGGCATCTCACCAGCTCAAGAAATGACTTTTTAAAGGGAGAAAAGCACTACTAAGTCTTGGCATTGTTGAGTGCTTACTAACTATGCTGGCCATGTCAATACTCAATGGGTATTTCCTGTGCCGTGTGTCATCTCTGAGCTCACAATGTGACAAAGTAGAGATCTTTACTTCTAGTGTATAGAAAAGCAAACAAATGGGGCCCAGGAAAATGACTCAGTGGGTACAGCACTTGTCACAGATGCATAAAGACCTGAGTTTGAACTCTCAAAACACACAGAAAATCTGATAGGTATGTAGAACAGTCCCACTGCTCCTGAAGTTACATGGGGAGGCAGAGACAGGAAAAGCCCCTGTAACTTACACATATGACACACATATTACACACAAGGACTGAAACCTGAGGCTGTCCTTTGACTTACACATATGTCATTCATGTGTCCACACTCGCACATATGACCACAAACATGTAGGGAGGTAGAAAGGATAAAAATAGACTTTCTCCAAGCACAAAACTAGTATTTGGCTGATGCGAATCTAGAAATTTTCTACCCTTAAAGCCTATGTTTTTAACACATATCATAATGTAGCCATGATCCAATTAAAAAAATAGTAATATGGAGAGAGAAATGAATACAGATACAAAACTGCTGCTAACTTTATATACACAATAAAAAATTCCTTGTCAAATGCAAGTATAATTTCCTGCCAATTTATAAAGAAATTGTATCGATTGTCTTTATTCAGCATATAGAATTTTTAATCCATTACAAAACAAAACAAACCCCTTTATTCATTAGCTGGACCAATGCCTGGATTGCTTGATTCATCTTAACTGTCAGCCTTCAACCCTAAGTTCAAGGACAATGGATCTCTTGTCCTCTTCTTCACCAACTCTAAGGAATGTTTTCAAACACCTGGAGAGGATAACTAATGATTTCAGCCACAAATTTAAATGCACTTCAATAACAACAGCAAATCCAGATGCAGGCTTATTCCCGTGGAGGATGCCTACAGCAACTGGATCTTTTCCAGTACTGTCCCCGGACCGCCTGAAGCAGTCCCCTATGAGTATTTAAAAGGAAGACTTGGAACCAGAGTCAGGCCTCAGAAATTGAATTTTAAGTGCACTTAGGAATTTAAGTGCATTTTCCTGGACTCAGATGATACAGAGAACAGAGAAATTCCAGCCATAAGGTCATCCAGGGAAGAGATGCTGGGTACCTAAACACTGATTTGCCCCATGTATTTGCTTTCTAAATATTTCCAATTCTGAAAACAAAATCATCTCATTTCCACAAAGGGATTGACTGAGATTCCAACCAATGGGATGATTCCCTAGCATGTAGCTGGAATGTGACAGATCCAGCAGGGTACCCAAACTTCCCAGATAAACAGTTTCCCTCAAAACATTGACACTGGCAATCCTCCTGGACAGAGATGCTCAATTTGACCTTTCATTGTCTGGAATGTGATAGGTGGGAAATTTAAAGTAAGTTTAAAATACAAATGCAGAGATATAAAATATATAGGATCTCAGCCAAAATTCACAGTGTAAAGCTGTATCGCAGTCATTAATCTGAACTCGAGTGATCGATTTTCTGTTCATCTCTTTATGTTTACTCAGGAGATTGAACCCAAGGCTTCTATTGCTAGTCAGCACTCTGTCACTGAACCAGCGCCCCAGAGCTAACAGGGCAACAAAAACAAAAACCAAGAGCGAAAGAAAAAGGAGGAAACCTCTGTGTAGTTCAAGCTTCCTTTACAAAGCAGTCCCAGGCACAGCATGCGTAGGGAGAGGGGACAGAGCAGTTTCACCCCTTAGAGCAGGCACAAGTTGAGTTCAGGGAGTCTTAGCTGGGAGATGCAGCCAACATTCCGAGGGCGCTTTTCTCTCCATTCTAGAGACTTTGGATACTCACTTCCCGGCAGACATTACTCTCGTTACCACTCAAATCTCAGCCGCGGTATTCCTACCCTACATGTCTAGAATCCAGATGGGTGTTTCGAAAGGAAACTACTTGCAGTATAAGGCACACTGTTCTGTGTGCTTAGGGGTTAGACTCTGTAGCTGAGGGATACACCTGCTACTGAAGAGAAGGGGAGAAATCAGGCCTGACCCAGGCTGTGTAGATACCTCAACAAGAGTAGAAACTCCCGTGTAGTCGAAAAAAGTCAAGCCATTGCAATCCAGGAGCAAAGAACACTTCTCAGAGGGGCTGGGCTGGGAAGCTTCCTCTGTGGAGACACAGAAACTCTAGTTAGAATCTGCAGGGCTCTGCTGCCCACTTGGCTGAATGGTAGCACAGCAACCGTGGCCACCCGGCTAATGGTAATTCTGAACATTTTCATTCTTAAAAATTTCAGTTAGCTACCCATTATTTCTGAGCTCGGTTTCTTGTTTGTTGTTAATGTTGTTTTTATTAGACTGACAGGAGAAGTTTAAATGAGTCTGAGAGGATATCTAGCAAGTTAACTCTAAGCACAGTGTAGACATTCTGAATGGTACACTATCGAATCAACTGCTTCTTTAATGGTTAGGTCCAGAGTAAGAGCCCTGTTTTGTGATGTATGAAGCTCATACCTGCTAGTTTATTTGTTAAAGCGAAGGCCCAAGGCTTGGGAGTATCCCATAGCTTTAGAGGTGATCTATGTTAACACTTATTTTCAGTTAATTTACAGTAAATCTGCAGTACAGAGTCCCAAGTTCACCCCAGCCCTATAAAAAACAACTAAACAGCATGAGCCTGTTGTATAGAAATGAAAATAGGTGATCAGAAAATATGAAGCATACTCAAAGTTGTTACATGAGAATCATCGTCAGGAAAACACTACAAAGTGCCCCCTGATGTATTTGAAAAGTCTTGCCCAGATAAAGGATTTTTTCCAACTTACAGTTTCAGATCATGTTAACTAATTGACTAAACTAACCACAGGGAGTGTAATGCATTTGAGAAATCTTCAAATATGTAGTGGATAATAACAAGTATGAGCCAGGGCCTATTCTCTTCTTCAGAGAGCTAATAATTTGAACAGAACTGATATAGACATGGTCTAAGATGAATAAAACAAAGTAAAATACAATGGGAACTTGTAAAATGGGTGAAATCTCCTTGAGGTGATCAAAGAATGCTTCCTTCACTAGCAGCCTTAACAGAAATGGCTGTCTGGCCACAGGAGGCATTCCGACACATGAGTGCCCAGGACCCCCTACTCCTCAGCTCCTGTGTCTACTATGCCTGACACTGCAGTCCTGACTTCAGCTTCCCTGTTCTCCCAGAAAAAGAATGCAGAGCATTCTTGAAGACTTCCGCTGTCCTTCCATTGACCAGGACATTCATCAGCATCTCAAACAAGACAGAAAGCAGCTACAAGTTAGGTCCTCCCAAGTAGGCATCTTTTGTCGTGTACCCTTAGCGAAACCTCAAGCCTTCATCATTCCATAGCACAGGGATTCTTGTTAATTCTCTCCCATAAATTGTGCCTCTGGTTCAGAGATGGGAAAGAACTGAAATGCAGGGGCAATTAAAATGTTCCTTCTAGGTAAAGAAGATCCATTCTGTTTCACAGTGGAATGTTGATCTACTCATAAATACATTTTTGTACAATGTAGAAACATTTTATACTCTCAAAACAATTAAATCTTTGGTAAAAAAAAAAACAAATCTGTATGTGGCACAAATATGGAATATATATATATGTATACATACATATACATATATATATATATATATATTCAGCTAGATACGAAACATTTAGTAAGACTAATCATGCTAATCATGTTCATAGCATATACTGGAATTCAGTATTTTAAGCATACTGGTTTTAGAAAATGAAATGTTGGGTTTTGTTGTTGTTGTTGTTGTTGTTCTTTGGGGTTTTGGGGGTTTTTTGTTGTTGTTGTTTTGTTTGTTTGTTTATTTGTTTTAGACAGGGTTCCTCTGTATTGTTTTGGAGCTTGTCCTGGCACTCACTCTGTAGACCAGGCTGGCCTCGAAGTTGCAGAGATCTGCCTGCATCTGCCTCCTGAGTGCTGGTATTAAAGGCATGCACCACCAACGCCCGGGAGGCAGAGGCAGGCATATCTCTGCAAGCTTAAGTTGTTTATCTAAGATGTTTTAAGGTAGAAAGGATATTTTGGAACTGGTAATACAAATTATGGTAGGAAGTGGTTTAGGTGTAAAACTTTGGACTCATTAGGATAGCAAAGATAATGAAGTAATTTCTGCAAATTTGCCATATACAAATCTACTAGACATAACTCTTACTTGATTATTTTATTTATAAATAATTTTACTGTATTAGAATTGAGTCTTTTACTTTTTATTTACACAAAAGGGGAAAATGTTGTGGGTTATTTGTATGCTGTGTGAAAACATATTGCTGTAGTCGGTGTAATAAAAAGCTGAATGGCCTAGGCAGGAGGTATCGATGGGATTTCTGGGCAGAGAGAGAACTCTGGAAAGAAGAAAGGTAGGGTCACCAGCCAGACACTGAGGAAGCATGAATGAGTGGGAAATACAGTACTGAGTAGAAGTAACTGAGCCACATGATAGAACATAATTTAATTTATAACTTAATTTAAGTTATAAGAGCTAGTGGAAAAGCCTAAACTAATGACCAAGCTCATTATTTGTGAGCTGGCAGCTGAAAACAAAGCATTCTACAATTAACTTCTATAATATATATATATATATATATATATATATATATGGTAAATTATATGTATAATTTAGTAAATTATTACTACTAAATATATACTGCTACAAGCAGTTTCCCACCAGCCTGGTCTCAGAGCCGCATTGGCCCCAAATAACACACAGAGATGCTGAATTGAATATAAAGCTATTGGCCTGTTACTAGCATTTTTTATTGACTAGCTCTGCCTAAAATATTAACCCATTTTTATTAATCCTAATCCCACCTATCTTGCTTTTCTATTGTCCAAAAAGGCTTTATTCATTACCCAATAAAAGAAACATATTTACAGAATGACATCTCCCATCAATATACTATATAGAATACTAAATTATATAGTATATATTCTTAATTATGTAAATATAGCCTGTTCAGTCTATATAATACTTATATGTTTTTATTCTTTTCTGAAAAGTATAATCGTAATATTTACAAATTAGACTTTACAATAGTAAACCATAACCAAAAAAATTGTTTAAAATAGAAAACTTGCCAACATATTAATTTTCTTCAAAAGTCTATATAAGTTTTTAATCTATAAGCCATATGGCATGATTTTGAGCCTCTCAATACATACCCAGAGCTTTATGTAATCATGAAATTTGACTAAAGTCAAATTAAACCTTAAACTGGTTTATCAAGTCAGTGTTTTTGTAAAACACTACCATAACCTTATCAGTCTGAACTTAAAAATGCTACTGTGAAAACAACTAAAGTGATTGCTGATGATCTTGTCTAAGTGACTACAAATGGGTGATTAAATGGCATTACAATACTTTGTAAGAAAGTTTATTTTCTCTTCAACCCTAACATATTTTTTCACTTCTAAATTATATTCTCCATTTTTGTTAATTTCTTGTCATTATTTAACAATATGTTATTCTAGATTACTATAAAATACTTGGAGTTTATAAATCATTATATGAAATGGTCCTTCTATTGTCTGAGTCTGTCTATGCTTGTTTATTTAATCTTTTATTTTTATACATGAATTCCTTCTTGATTTTCTTTTAATCAAATTGGCATATTTTCAAGCCATTCAAAATAAGACAAATCAATACAAAATGACCATGCATGTATTTGGGAATAATTATTTAGGTAAGCTATTTCAAAGAAATCAACTAATAGCACCCCTTTTAAACAAAAATAAAACCCTAATGGTGACACTTCCAATTCACTCAGCTGGAGCTGAAAATTTAAATACAATGGACATTTCAGAAGTCTCCCAAAGATAGTAAAAATTTTCATTTGCCCATATGTCCTCGGCCTTGTCATTGCAATCATTTGCAGATATAATCGTGTTTTCCATGCTTCTAAGAAAATTAATCAGCACAATAGGAATCATGTCATCCTCGATAAGAGTGAAGAGAATGAATGCTAATAGTCAGCTATAAGCAAATGAGGTAAGCTTGGGCACTGCAAAGGAGCGACTAATCTATCCCCACAGGGCAGGTGGCAAATGATGGGCTTCATCATCATCATCAACAACAACAACAACAACAGACATTAACCATCAGGTGTGTGGGGGCGATGAAACTCAGACTGTGAAAGACAGCTCTTTCCTGTGGAATATTCATTAACCCCTTTAATTAAAATATTCATAGTCACATAATTTCAAAAGATTCTGACAGTGAGTCACTTGCAATTTTTAAAACTATCTTCTATTGTTGTCAATTAACTATAGAGAAACAGATTCTCTCCCTAATATCTAATGGAATAAGGAGACAAGAGATATTTAGAACAAACAATACCCTCCTTGGAAAAACATGCAATTATCACTGAACATTTCATTCATAGGTCTGTTCTCTCATTAATCCCAGCAGTCAATTAATACAGATGCAGTGTGAATTTAGGAGCATGGTTAGGGTTACTATTGCAGTAATGGAGGGTTATGTACTTGAGTGTTTTATGTGGGGGGTGAAGAGTAGGGGAATGGTTCAAGGAAGGTGGAAGTTTGCTTAAAGTTTGGGGTCTGTGACAGCAGAAGCCACCTCTACCTTCTTAATCACTGAATATGCAGAACCACTCACCATTCCTAAGTCAAGTAATCTTAAAAGAACACATGAACTATTTTCCAGTGAATAACAACATGAAAACTGCATGGATGAAAAGAAGCAAGAGTTATATGGGCAGAGACATGGAGGGAACTTGGAGGTTTCCTTAAGGGGGGGCAGTGGTAGAAACCCACATGGCAAGTTCACCATAGCAACAGACTATGGGGCTCCTGTTAGCAATACCATCAGATGCCCTAAAATATCACACATACTTCTAGAAGATCTCTTCACAAGTTAACAATTATAGTTTTCATTCAGAAAAAAATGCTATGCCTTCCATCTTCTCATTTACATAAATGGTTTTATAGGGTTGTTTTTTCTGTGGTATGTCAACTCTGCATCTGAAAAGGTTGTTAAAGAATGGAGATTTTTGACTCTTTTCTCCTTTACCCAATGTTTTTCTTGCTCCATGGCTCACCTTGATTGAGTCTCTTTGAGTCCTATTCTTTATCCCTTAAACCAGCTAAATATCTCCTAAGTAGCTGCACATCACATTTAACTTACCACCCTGTAAATTAAATACAGCTTCCCTTATAGACACACCTGCGTTTCATTGTTCTCTGTTTGAAAGTTTTAACCTGAGTGCCATCATTTGTCTCACAACAGGAAAAAAAAAAAAAAAAAAAAAAAAGCAATCCGAGAGTCATTTTGATTCATTTTAAAGGAAATTAAGGACGGGGTCATCACAAAAGTGATACCATAAGGCAGTGAGCCCAAGAAGAGGTTTAGTGATAAAAACAGGAACAAGGCCATAGAAGTCTTAGAAAGATGGGGGCAGAATGGGGTGAGGCATAGGGGCGGGGAGCAGAACGAAGGGGAGGAGGAGAAACAAGCTGCTTATGACTAAGGATGAACTGGAGTGTGCAGAGAAGGGAGAAAATGAAGACAGGGAGCAAATAGAGAAGAGAAGTTTTCTATCGGTACCATTTATTTTGATATACATTTCCTTATAATCTACCTCTTTCTCCATTTCCAACTGTAATTTCTTCCGAAGATAATATATAAACACAAGCAGTATTTACTAATTTCCAAATACAACGAGACTCTGGTTATTTTCTTGTTCTAAGCTTACTTCTATTAAAAGCTTACAGTTTAGGAGCTGAAGAGATATGAGATGGCTTAGTGGTTAAGAGCCTGTACCATTCCTAAAACAGGACCTGAGCCTGGTTCCTAGAAGCCCTTAAGGGTGGCTCACAACTGCCTATAAGTCCGTACCTGGGAGTCAGTGTTACCTTCTGGCCCATGCAGGTACCTGTATTCATGTGCACATGCCTCACCCTCAACTCCCCCCAACACATACACATAATTAAAAGTAAAACGAATACATCTTTTTTAAATGATTTACATATGAATTTCATATTGGCAAGTAAATCTGCATGCATAATTTCCCTTATTTGAAACTTATTGAGACTTGTAGTATAGTCCCAGTGTGTGGCCATCAGAGAAGGAACCAGTGTCAGACCTCAGATCATGCTCACACTCACTGCAACAGATCCCTGAAGTTTCTTCCTCTCTTTGTTCTTTTTCTTCCTCACCAACTAATGATACTGAAATCATATACTGTACAATTCCATATCAACCTGTTCGGAATTCAGTCCTCTGGTTAGGTCTGATTTGGGTTTTATTAATCCTGCCTTTTATCATCTGGCTGTTGTAGATACTGCTCTGTGGTGGCACTCATAATGCAGGGTGACACGCCAGTACTGTCCCACTCAGACTGCACAGTTGTGTATCACTGCCTCTTAAGTCTTTCGGTTTCTGTATATTGAAAGGAAGTCACCTCAACTCATGCTCTTACAGGAGGATAAACTTCTAGAGAGTAAACATTGACCTGAGCAACTAATCAAGGACATGTCATTAAAACATTGTTGCTGTCACCTGACATTTATCCTAGGAAAGTGTGAGCCTGTAATTGATTTAGTTGTGTGAAGTAAAAGTCTAACATGTATGTGAGATTATTTGGGGGAAAGGTTCATCTACAGTAAGACTCTACCGAGTTGAGATAGTCAGTTTACGGAGAAAGGACGGAGATAGACGGAGGCAAGAAGAGGGAAAGGGGAAAGAAGGGGGTAAAAAGATGGAAGAAGATAGGAAAGAGGAAGAAGAAAGGGAAGGGAAAGGAAATGTGAAGAGAGGCAGGAGGTGAAAAGCAGGAGAAGGGAGAATAAGAGGGAACAGGAAGTAGAGAGGAGGAGAAAGTAAGGGGGAGGAGATTCTAGCGGAAGAACAATGAAACCCTCTGTGTAAATTCAAGTCAAAGCATTCAGGCTACCTTTTCCTGAACGCAAACTCACCATTGCAGCTGCCATTGGACAGGGGATTGAGCAAGGTGTTCTGTTCACACTGAAATAAAAATAAATGTAAAGAATAAAAGTGTTGTGAAACAATACAGCTACCAGTGGAAAAGCCCCACATTCCTCTCTCTGTGGTGAGTCACAACAATTAGCTCATTCAGATTTTTCTCCCTTCTAGGTTTGTTTCAGATGTTGTGTTCTGTGAAGTAGGAAATGAAAAAATAATCTTGAGCTGGAAGTCAGTACATGTAAGTTCAGTAGATACTTTGCTCACTGAGTCGGATATTAGAACATTCTTTGAAAGACTAAATTTGCGTTGATCTGAGTCAGAAATCCTTTCACACACGTTAACCCCATGAAAGTGCTCAAGAAGAACTTATGAGTTGCTAGATGTTAGGGAGTGTTAAAGCTGTTCTGAATCACAGCTCAGCTTCTCCAACACAGAGGCCTGGCCTCAGCAATGGCGTGCTATCTGTTTATCTAGAAGTACACTATTGTTTATGGCTGTTGATGACGATGACTGGGTATTTTTCCATGCTTACTATATACCCAAGTCTTGATGGCATTAATAATTGAATCCTCAGAACCATCCTGTGAAGTCACAGATCTTATCTTCCATTATGAGGGAGCCAAGGATGAGAAAGTTAGAAGACAGGACCAAAGTCATAAAGCTGGGAACAAATCAGACTGGAACCAAAGTCAATGTCTTTCCAAGTTTCTGCTCTCAATCACTGCTTGGACGGTTTCTCTTTGTATTAATCTTTAAGACAGAGAGGAAAATCAACTTACTCTCAGTGTTGTCCAGTGCTACAGATTACATATCTCTATCAGGTGGTTGTTTACATTTCCAAGATTCAATCTGTGTCTTTTGTAGTACTCAGATAATGACACCAACACTCTGTGTCTGTGTCTGTGTCATAGGGCCTGGCCTTCAGCAGATGCAATTTTCCTTTCTCCCTCTTCCCTCTCTGCAATCTAAATGACAGTCAATCTAATGGTATTAGCTAAGACTGCACAGCACTGGGCAGTCCAAGAACTTGCCTGAGTGGTTTTGCATCGTTTACCTCTTTGAATCACCTTTGTCACAAATGAGAACCAAGAAACACAAGCTCATCTAAATCCCCACAGCTGGTGGGTGGCAAACACAGGCAGCTTGGCTCTGAAGCTCAGGCTGTGGACACTTTAGAGGACTTGAGGATTCAAGGGGAAACTACACATTCACTCTGACTCTGTATCTGATCACTGAGATTTCTTACAGGATAAAAAGAAAGCTGAGTGGTAGTGGGGTGACCTGCACATCTGAGGATGGGATGGAAAGGTCATGGACTATATAGTTCTCAGTTTTAAGAAAATAAGGAAAGGAAAGGAAGAAAAGGAAAAGAGGGAGGAAGGGAGAGAGGGCAGTTTCATAATAATGTTATAATAGTAATCAAAATAATTTATGCTTCTCTGAAGTTCTTTACCATACTCCATATTCTGAAGAACTAGATTATCACATATTTATTTTAGAATCATGATGAACAAATTTCTTAAAAATATTTAAAATTCCCCTATTCTTAGGTTATATTGTAATAGCCAAACATACAGTATTAAGGTTTTTTTTTCCCTGAGAAATGGGTCTATAAGCACATCTATGCCCTATTGCTGTTTATCTAAGGACATGTTTAGGGTCTGTAATACGACACACATCATAATTTGGCATTCTTACCTTGCTGGCATCATCAAGTGGGTGACTGCTGTCATTTTCCTTTAGAATTATTTTCATCAGATCAGTATTCAGCTTCTTTGCATTCAGGAAAACAAGTGGGTTGTTGATTGAGATGATTTTTACCTGTTGCAAGGTTTCCTTTTAAAGGGAGAAAAAAGGAAAAGATTCAGAACTCTGAATCAAGTGATCAAAAACCAAAACCAAAACCAAAAACGAATTATACCTGATCAGACTTAATCTTATGAGTCAACACACCATTTAATTGTAAATGCAATCTCTCTCTCTCCCTTTATTTTTAGTATTTAATTTTGGCTGTGCATCCTGAATGCAGTTTCTCCTCCCTTCTGTCCTCCAAGTGCTCCCACAACTCACCCATCCGCTTTTCCTCCTCTGTTTCTCCTCAGTAAAGGGAAGCCCCCCCCCATGGGTACCAACTAGCCATGACAAGTCAATCTCTTAGCTAACACTTTGTTATTAAAATTTATTTGTAAGTCTTAATGAAATACCCTATATACCAAGGAAATACAGATGTTTGTATTAAGAAACATTAGTAATACAACGAGTCCACAGGTTTTCAGAAAGTTTAAAGCACTAGCCTAGACTGCGCATTCTCCCACAAAGCCCCTCTTTCCCTCCCCCAGGAATTAAAATTAACTTACTGTTGTTTTCGCAATGATGTGCATCAGACCCGGAGTCTCTCATATGCTAGCCAAGCGCTCTGCTACTGAGTCCACCAGCATTTAATACAACTGGAACTGTCTTAAAGCGCCCACTATCATCCCTGTACACCGATGTAAGCTCCCCTCTAGCTAAAGTATGACTTTGCAAATAATTGGCACTCCTAATTGGAAGAAAGGCCATAAAACACAGTATCTGGAGCACAGGTCTCCTAGGCCAGCCCTAGATTACACGTGTTGCCAGGTTGTAGACAAAGATTAAAAAAGGTTCTTATTCAAAATATTCCTACTTTGCTCATCTGCTCAGATAGTACCAGCAACACTTGGTGCTATCCAACCAAAACTCCCTTTTCTGTGACTTTGGGACAGGTACCTGACTGAGAATATGACTAGTTCTGTGCAATGACAGCTGCTTACCAACCAAGCAAGGCTTTACTCCTCAGACTTTAGTATTCCCATAGAGGAAGAGATGCAGAAAATAGCCATGCATGCAGGCAGAAGAAATAAAGATTTAGGTTCATAAATGTGGGTAATTCATTCACTCACTGTTCACTCATTTTTTAAAATAATTGTTTATATAAAACTGAAAATATCTTAACTCTAGAAAGTAAGGGGACTGCAACAAATAATACAAGAAAGCAAAATGATTAAGCTGCCAATGTAACTTTTAATCCAGAGGCAACCATTGAAAAACTGAAAACAAACCATTAATGTTTAGGTCTGCCATGTACAGTTATCAGATTTGATTGTTCCAGGAGTTTCAAGATGAAAAAAAAAAAGAATAAATATTTGTTAAGGAATAAAAATTTGGCGGTTACACAGAGAAACTCTGTTTCAAAACACCAAAATAAATTAATAGAGATTTAAGTTGCTGCAACTAAGAAATTCTCAACAGAACTGAGTTCTTTAATGAGAAAAGCCATCCTAAATTAGAATGGGCAATTTGCATGAACAAGGAGTTAAAAAAGGGGGGAGCACAATTTTAAGTCAGTTAAAATTTTTATTCAACAGTTTATATACAAATTATGTTCAGTCTCATTCATATCTCTTACTTTCATGGAAAATATTAGGAAATTAGTTGGATGTAAGTTTTAACGAAATGGGAATTTTTTTTTATGAGCAAAAGTTATTACTTGTATGGGTGACAGGAGAAAGAACCCAGACTTGAGACCATGAGACATTTCTTGCAGTTGCATCTGTTCTAAAAAAGCACGCATTCTCCATAAGTTATGCTTGGCCCAAGAAGGCAAGGATTACACATTTTGCTCGCCAATGATTTTTAGAATGAAAACTCATCAACCTAAAATCATATTCTGTTTCATGATGAGGACTTACGTGGGGGGATGACGGGACTATGGGATAAATTGGCAAACCTCCAAGGCTTGGAATTAAACAGCCTGTGAAGCAAATCTCTTAGTAAAGAACAAACCATCCTCCTAGGGGTTGCAGAAAGACTCCTGACCTTACTTCCTGTTTTCAGGCTACCTGGAAAGACCTTGACGTGGGTCCTTTGGGAAGGAGGCCAGTTCTCTGTGTTCTGAAGGGAATCATAAGGTAATGAAGCAAGTGAATGTGAAAATAAAGGAGAAAATGTTAAGCAAACATTTATCAAACAGGTTCAAAGTGAGGCCAACTTTTAAAAATGGGCAAAAATGACTCAAGTGAGCACTTACATTGTTATTATTCCCCCCCACACACACTTCGAACTTTCCTGGTTATTTTTTGAAACAAGAAACGAGAACTGCCCATTCCTGCCTAGTGGGCTCCACACTTGGTACACAGGCGAAGACCCTTGGCTAACCTCAGTGGCCACAAAACAAACAGAAAGATGAGAAAGGGGGAAAAGGGACTGAAGCAGGGAGAGGTTCGTGGGGTTAAGAGAGAGGGGAGAGGATGGGTCAAAGCAATCTTGCATGAAATTGTCAAAGAACAACAAATTTCAAGATCATCGAACTCAAACACTCATATGGGACCCTCACACATGAGCAAGGCCAGCTCGTTTATGTAAATTGCCTTTTTATGAGAATTCAAGACAGAACCTTGGACTTAATAATTCGGTATCATTGTATTTTCAAATAACACATTAAAATTTCTTTGAGAATTTCATACATGCATACCTATGATCATATTCACCACCCCAAGAGTGACTGGGTTATTACAACAGCAGTGCTTGAAGGACTTCCGGCTCCTTTCTTCTTATTATTATTTTTTCCTATTCCCTATTTTTCTTTATCACTTAAGGGAAAAAAAAGCTATCAGTTTAACTTACTTTATAAAATTTGTAGTGGAAAAGATTTCAAATGCCTGAAGTAATCTCTGCCACAGGTCAACTGTGAATGCAAATTCTATGGACCATGGTGTGATTTAATTAGGAAGCTAAATTCAAAAGATTTTTCTTTTTCTCTACTGATTAATGCATGTCCACTGCCATTTGTGGTACTCACATGTCTACCTCTGGAAACCAATACGTATAGAAAATAGAATGATGTTGTCAACTAGCATAATTTATCTAACCTTAGGACCCCTCAAACTGGCTCATCCACAAATGTTAATATCTGCACAGACAGAGACAAGGAAGTTGGACTCACGTCATGCATTTCTGTCTTCACCTTAAATTCCAGTTCTTTCATGTTTGTTATGCTTAGAGTCTTTGCCCTAAATTCAAGGCAGATGAAAATTACACGTCATTTCCTGATCACTATATTAACAGAGAAGAATCAAAAGCAGCTTGTTTATCTTGAAATTAGACATTACGTGATTTATACTCTATAGTGATTTGTCTAGAAGATACTGGTAAACCTGCATTTTGTGAGAACATTCTGTAGTAGAGAATAACAACAGAGGTATCTAACTAGAAATTAATAAACAGGATTTATCTCATTTAATTCCCCAGACTCAGTGGGCTCCAAGCTGTAAGAGTTACACTGATTTTAAAACTATAAAATGAGAAAGGGCTAAAGACTATACGGTGTCTGATGAAGTCTTGTTAGAAGAGTGGAAGGAAAGAGGCTCAGTGGCAAAAAGTCACACAGGTGACAGTATATTTTATATTTCATTTTTTTTTTACTTTTTAAAATTATAAGCTCAGGTTATTTCATAGATAATCCCAGCGGGCCCATGAGAACAGAGTACAACTATTAGCAGATGAACTTTCAGAATGAAGGAAAGGATTTGTTCAAAATAGTGAAGGAGTTCATGATGCTCAGTCGGAAGCCAAAGCAATAAAGAATTCAGCAGCAGATGACGTGGCTTCTCAAAAGTGAACATGGTGATTTAATTTTCTGAATGATGATAACTGGCATAAGTTTTTGTCTTATTGAATAATATATCATGAGATTTATTGATTTTAGTAGATGTTATGTATTTTAAGTGGCCCTCCAATACCCATGTGTTTTAGGCCTGGTTGCCAGCTTACACTGTTAGTGGAAGACAGGAGAGCCTTTTAGAGCTGAGGGATGGTGGAAGGGACATTGGTCACCGGATGTGTGCCCTTGTAGGTGATATTAGTGCTATAATCCCCTTTTCTCCTTGTCTTCTGGGCACTTAGGAGCAAGCAGACTTATTCTACTATTCACTTCTATGAATGCACTAAGACACTGCAGTCCAAAGCAGCCTCCGAAATCATAGGCAGAAATAAAGTTGTCCTTTAAGTTGTTTTATTTCAGGAATCTGTTTTGATATTGATGGTTCTTTTTATTATGATCAACATTATTATATGTCATATGTAAGTAAATATTTGGCTATTTCCTTTTCTGTTTCCCCGCTAGAAGCAAGAGGATACGGGAATTATAGAACAATATATACTATGTAACAATGAAAACAACCATACCATCATGTGTTTGGTTGTAGAGTAAAAAGAAACAGAGTAAATAAAGCCTTACCTTGGAAAGCGTCCTATCACGATGGCTATGGTGCAGACAACACCAAACAACAATCCCACATTGGCAGCAAAGCATATTGTAAATATGTAAGTACTGACCCATATGCCCTAAAGAGACAGAAAAAAGAAGAGGTGGCTTCTCTTTATCATTTTTCTCAGAACTGCAAATCCCTCACAAATGTATTCAACAGCACTCCCGTGAACAAACATCTAAAAATAAGCTTGCTTATCTATTCTCTCCCTCCCTCCCTCCCCGGGTCCTCCATAAAGACTTGACTATGGAAAGCCAGATATAAGCTTACTAGAGTTGGATCTCTCCATGTGGATTTCAGGGATCAAACTCAGGTCATCAGGTTCAGCAGTAAGTGTCCGTACCCACTAAACCATCTCAACATCGCAAGGACATATTACTTGATGTGAGTAGAAATGTGGAAACACAGAAGCATCCCATGGCTCCATCATACCCTCAGCAGTATAAGAGGAAAGGCGCAGTGTTTAACCAGTAGGATTGTCAACTCTTAGTTCAAGCCCCAAATACTCTATATCAGATCTGTAAATACTTGGTTGATATGTATGTGCATAGAAGTACGTTATAATTTCCTACTATTTCTTATTGAATATATGGTATTGCAAGCAGTGCTTTGCAGAGCTTTTATTTTTGTCATTTTCAACATATTCTCATTTCTATGACTACTGTACAAAAAAATCTGATATAGTTTGTTACTATATACAAGGTTCTCAAAGTCTAGTTTTAAACTAACTGGATAAACCAACATTACCAATGATTTTAGGCCAATGTCTAGAAAGATCATTATTTATAAAGGGCTACTTCCTGAAAAGCTAAAATTTCAGGGATGACTTAATTTTTAGAAGGATTCCATGTTTTTTAAGAAAATAAATTTTCTTTTAATTGTAATTTTAAATGTATTGTAATTTTATCCACCTTTGAAAATTATAATCACAGTAAGAAAAAAGCAGGTATTTCCAAGCTTAGTGATGGAAAATATCTTCAAAAGCAAAAATAATTTACAAAATCTAGAAAGGTTATATTTCTAAACTCAAAATCCTATATTTTATACATACAAGACTAAGAACTACTTTCAAATTATTTTCCCCAATGGTATATATTATATACACCATTTTGCCTATCAATGCAATTCTAACTTATTTTCTTTCTGTTTCAATGTTTTAAAGTAACTTTAAAAACATCAAGTCATCTGTAACCCAAAGACAGCATAAAATCTTGGTGACAGCTATATCTCAAGCCTCCTAAGGCTAAGGGATTATCTCAGAAGAGCTGGAGAGACCATGAGGGCCAGGTGGGGATGACCACATCAAAGTTGTTTTCTGGGCACAAGGCAACTTCATCTACAAATTCACCTCAGTCTTAACAGTTTGCACAAGACATGTTCAAGCTCAACACAGACAAACACCTGTTCACAGATAAGCATAAAACCTCACCCTCTAGCTAAGGAACTTTTGGCAACTGAAAACTCCTAGTTGAGGAAGAATCTGTTTTCTTTAAGGGTGTGACTACTAATAAGTTAACCATACTCTGGGGAACAGCCTTACTCTTACAGCAACTAGGCAACACAAATTAAACTCCACAGGCTTAAAAAACAAATGTAGTGGTATATTGTTTATTATTTATTACAGCTTTCATGAAAAGTCAGAAAGCAAAGTCAGCCACAAGCCATAGAAGCCAGGCACACACTTTTAATCCTAGGACTCCGGATTAAGAGGTAGACAGATCTCTAGGAGTCCAAGGCCACCCAGATCTATATAAGATTGATCCAATCCTAAAGAAAAACAGCTCACACAAACATGATCTCAGCACTTGGGATCACATGCCTTTCATCCATATATATATATACATATATGTATATATATATATGAATGACAGGAGCAAGGTCTCAGTATTATGCATTCATTCTCCAGCCACATTGAGGATAGGAAGACATTCAGTCTCAGAATTCTCCAGCCACACTGAGGAGAGACAGCAGGGTCAGCCCACTGTCTGAGGTAGTCATAAGAGCTAGTGGTCCACTACTTTGCCTTTCTGTTCTTCAACCTGAAGTTTAAACCCTGATATCTTTCTATGGGTCTGTTACTTTTCATGTTACAAAAAAGATAAGAAGTTGGGTGAATAGAATGTGGGGATAGATCCAGGAGGAGATGGAGGTGAGGTGTGAATATGATCAAAATGCATTGTGTGAAATTCTTGGTATTTAAAGAAATGTAAAATGTTTACTTAGAAATGGAAAAAGAAATCTTGAATGGATAGAGACTTTCCTTATTTCTAGAGTGTGTTTTAGATTTGAATTGTTTTGTTTGTTTGTTTTTTGTCTTATCTACAGGAAACTGGTTCAAAATAAGCTGTTTTGAAAAGCTAAACCCTTGGAGGCAAATGGAGGGAGTTTGATCTGGAAAATCACCCTTTTTAAGTAAAAGATGTACACATTCTAATGTAAAAGAAAAGGCATATTTTAAATAATTCTGGTTTTTAACTAATCCCTGTAATTATAATTCTAGATTACAATTTCTGAAATCATTCCCAGCCTGCCATCTTGTAGGGTGGGATATGGCTGTCCTTCCTTAGTTCAGATGAATTCTCAGTGATTTTTGTTTTTATTTCTACACACTATTTTTATTCACTGACCAATGACATTGTATCTCATCATATACAAAACAGAGTTGCAAGTTTTATACTACAACTTGCACTTCTATGATGGCTCCAAGCTCTACCTGGTGCTGAGCCTGCCTGGGTGTGGCAGAAAAATCACCGGAGCATCATGAGACCCACTGCTTCTGACCAATCTCCATTACTGATGAATGGCTTGGGTATTTTAGGATCTTGTCATGCACACACACACACACACACACACACACACACACAGAGAGAGAGAGAGAGAGAGAGAGAGAGAGAGAGAGAGAGAAGTCTTTGGTGAGGCAGCTAAGAAATGTCTAGAGCTATATATCTGGAGCTAAACAGATAGCTCAGTGGTTAAGAGTACTGGCCGCTCTTCTAGAGGACCCCGGTTCAATTCCCAGTATACACATGGCAGCACACAACTGTCTATAACTCCAGTTCCTCCTTCTGGCTTCAGCTGGCACTAAGCACACACACAGTGCACAGACTTGCATGCAGCAGGCAAAACACTGATAAAGTAGAGTTCAAAAATGTAAAAAGAGCTGTCTCAACTGATTCCAACCGTAGCACGTGGTGGGAAGCTAACACAACACCCACTGAATGACAGGGTGTCTGTTGTACCCATGCCACCTTTTCAGTTTGCCCCGTCTAAACTGTAATGCCTCCTAACTCCATAGTTTCAAGATCGGTTCCAATCCGTAAATGACTAATTTTCTTTTAAACTTTTTATGTATTTGTTTTATTGGGGGCAAAGGGCATGTGTGGGGTTAGAGGACAAGTAATGAAAATTGGTCCTCTCCTCCCACCATGTGGGTCCTGGGGATTGAGGTCAAGACATCAGGCTTGGCATAGCTGGTGACTACCTTCCGAGCTATCCCACTCGCCCATAATCCCAAGTCTGAAAGCGTATTTTAAATTGTTTATTAAATCTCTTTTAAACGCAGCATGCCTAAATACACAACTGTTAGCTCGATCTCCAAATCACCTCTTTCTGTCCTGTTCCCTCAGCGGTAAAACTAAGATTCACAAACATACTCTAGTCAGAAGGCTTGGAGTCACAGCTCCCTCTTTTTGTTCTTTCAACTCCCTGTCCAGTCTCTTCCCAACGTCTCTCAATTATTAATAAAAACACATGAAACCGTATCCTTCCCTCAGCTCACTGATGATACCACGCCACTCTACCGTTCCTTTCTATTGTAGCTAACGGTCTCCTGCTCCGGTGGCTGCTTCCGTAGTCAGCGTTATAAACCTTTTTCTGTGCCTCTCTAGGACAGATTTGCCTATTGGGTTTATATCATAAACTAAATACATTTGTTTGCACTCTAATTCCTCGTGTTAAATACAGTCAAAGCAAACAATAAAATGAATCTATAAAAATAAAAAACATCTGAAATGAGAAATAAATGTGTTTTTAAAACCCTAACTATACATAAGATCTAAACCTGTCAAAAACCTCGGAAGTTTGGATGATAATAAAGAAAAACACTGGAATCCCACAATGTATTCCCAGTTTTCAATCAACTGTAGTCTTCCAAGGTCTTTACAATCACCTTATTGGTAAGATTCCGTAGGGACAGAGCTTTGAAACTTTCTGGCTGAGGCTGGCTTGCCTGAGAGGCAGCTAGCACACCATAGAGATGCTTTTCACAAATCAGACTGCATCAAGCCTGCATTTGTGTCGCTCTGTCTTGTTCCCAACCGGGAAAAAACTAGTGTTTTCATGGCTGTTGTGACAAAATACTAGAGGAAAATACCCCAGAGCAGACAGGACTTGTTTGCTTATGGCTTCAAGGATTCCAGGCCTCGGTGTGGGGGAGGGGATGGCAAAGCAAATCACTTCACATCATTGACTACTAATGCCCTTTTCCTTCACCTGGTCCCCAGCCTTGGTCACATTCAGTACAGATCTTTACATCAGTTTATCCTCTCTGGAAGCAACACGGCAAGCACACCCAGAGTCATACTTTACTAACCTCAGTGGAGCTCAGTTCACTCAGTTTGACACCCAAGACTAACAGTCATAGGTAGAGATGAAGGAAGACAGAGAATGCAGAAGCACCCTGTAATTTCCAAAGCCACACACAACTCAACTAGGGAGACATCTTAAGCCGACACGCCTAAAAGAGAATTGCAGGCTGCGCCTGTTTACTTGATATCCCCTGCTGCTACCACATTGACCATGGTCCTAAAAGAATCGCTGAGAGACCTAGCCAATGAAAGGAAAAGAAGGAGAAACCCGAAAGAAAGCCAAAGAAGAGATTTGGGCATGTGATAAGCATCTCAAGGGAAAACAACAAAAAAACAAAAATGTAATGATTCTCATAGAAATCAGGTACACACTTATTTCTTTTAAAAAAGGAGAAAATTAGATGGAAAAAAAGCAGTCGGGAAAAACTATACAAAGTAGTTAACTATAAATAAGAACAGCATTTATATAAAAAAAAACAGTATTTAAAGTATAAAGCAGGATCAACATAACTGAACACATACAGTAGCTCATACTAATGACACTGCACACAAGAAAACTTTAAAAATACTGGTAAATATATGATTCATTAACGAGAAAGGAAAACATGCATTTGCAGAACAATATTCAAGTACAAGTTAGGAGAAACATTTTGTAACCGGGTCCTACCTTAAGGTCAAACATGAGGTTCACAGAAATTTTATACTGTACCCTAAGCCACAGAATTAATCAAAAAATGATATTACTGAACATTGTGGACAGGAAGAATAAAGATCATGGAGTATTAATTTGGAGAAGCATACTCACATAAACTATAAAAGTTAGGTTGGCTGTTACATACTTCTCTATGTAATCTATCAATGTCTAAAAACATGGCTAGTTCTAAAAGAGTCTGAGGGAAAGCATTTTAGACAGCCTAACATTTTCTGATGGTATATGAAATGATCAATATTTTCAAAATGAAATGGATCAGGGAATATAAAGTCCATGAAACTTCTTAGAAAACTACTTGATAATGGCTCACAAAGTAGAGATGACACTTAAAGGAGTCTTTTTTAAAAGCCTAATGGTGAACAAGAAGTTTCTGTTTCTGTGCTTTCTTCCTGCACAAACAGTGTCAAGAAGGTCGAGTCTTCATCAGTCTCTGCATCCCTCATGCACTCAGCCTTTGTGCTGTGCTCAGAGTCACAGAGGCAACGTTCTGAAAGTAAGTACCAGCCGATTCCCAAAAGCTTCATAGCACAAAGGATCAAAAGAGCAAATGTAGGTCATGACATTTCAATAGGACAAGTGCCGTTCAGGGCGGAACCATGGCTACTCATGAAATTCTTCACTTACCCTGGAAGGAGGGAGGATTGGGGGGTGTTTTTATGTAGGCCAGCTTCTCTAGAATGTAAGTACACTAAATATCTCTGTTAGCCAAAACACACGTTCTCAGTGTTTAATGTTATCTAATCTGTTCTGTTCCCAGAGATATCTTATTAATGTAATCCTCCCACAGTATAATCCATTTGGAAGACAAGTTGTAAGACTTTTTGGCATGAATGTGAACACTATTGCATTTCACCTTGTATCCATGTGTCATAATTTAATGCTAGGTTTGCATGCACATGATAAGCCATCATATTTCTCAGTGTGTACTACCTCAGTAAGCTCTGCCTTCAAAATCAATCCATAATTTAAGTTGGGTACCCTCAGTCCACTCAAATTAGCTAATCTATAAATTTTTTCAAACTACATATTCATCAAAATAAGTCAAAATTCTAAAAGAGAACAAAACACAGTAACAGACAAAATTCTGTGTTCATGCTTTCATTCAAATTGTGAAAACCTAACTGGGCATCCACGAGTCTCAAATGGTTAAGCATATTTCCTGCCAATAAGAGTATTAGAGCGTATTTGGTAGCATGTCTTAAGCCAAAGAGGAAATGTCTGCTCAAACTGCTACTTACCCAATCGATTTTATCCACATTCCAGTACTTTTTTAAATCCCGGAACTGTATTAACATTCCCTTCAGTCCCACCACAATAATGCTTGCAAGAACACACTGTAAAGGGAAAATAAGTTGGAGAAGAAGCAGAACAAAGATTTTAATGTGAATTTAAAAGCACAAAGTTAGTGTTGGCTGTTTTCTCTCTTTGTTTTTAGTAAATTCTAGGGAAAAGCCATCACCAATTAGGTTAAAGTAACATTTGTTCATTTAAAATGAACTTATGTGGTGCTTTAGGGGTGCATCAATTTTAGGAAATCACAGGGCAAAACTGATGCAGATTGCAAAGAGCAGATAACAAAAAGAAAGGAAGTGAATTCTGATGGTGACTATCTCAAGGCTGGAGGTCTTTTTTGTTAGAGTCACTGTATTTTATTTGAAATATGTTTGTTACAGAAATTATACATTCATCTCATCTATCTCTTAACAGGGATCTCAATATTAGTCATTTGTTTCACCTATAGAAATTTGTATGTATGAAAAACAAACGAGTATTAGGTAGTTATCTTATGGAGATGGCGACTCTTCCTTGGACATTTAGGACTTAGAACACCAGAGTCTAAGACAGGGTGGTAGCTGGGATCACGTGGGAGCCCAGGGCTTAGGATAGGGCAGATGACGCACCAGTGCTGAGGTTCACTGAATAAAAGATGTGCCTATGCTATGAAGACGGTTCTTGTCCTCCTCCCCATTTCTCCAACCCACACTTCGTTCAGAATTCTTTGAAGCCTCTGTTTTTCCACTGCTGGAGACCAAACCAAGTAACCAGGCATGCTCAATTAGTAACCCATGCATGCTCAGTTAGTAACCCATGCATGCTCAGTTAGTAACCCAGGCATGCTCAGTTAGTAACCCATGCATGCTCAGTTAGTAACCCAGGCATGCTCAGTTAGTAACCCATGCATGCTCAGTTAGTAACCCAGGCATGCTCAGTTAGTAACCCATGCATGCTCAGTTAGTAACCCATGCATGCTCAGTTAGTAACCCATGCATGCTCAGTTAGTAACCCAGGCATGCTCAGTTAGTAACCCAGGCATGCTCAGTTAGTAACCCATGCATGCTCAGTTAGTAACCCAGGCATGCTCAGTTAGTAACCCAGGCATGCTCAGTTAGTAACCCATGCATGCTCAGTTAGTAACCCAGGCATGCTCAGTTAGTAACCCATGCATGCTCAGTTAGTAACCCAGGCATGCTCAGTTAGCACTCTGCCACGGAGCTGCACCTCAGGCCCCACAAGTCTGCTTTTCATGTTATTATTTTGAGTTCCCCCTGATGAACCAGAGGACTGCCATCATTTCCTTCTCTTTCTCCCTCATCAAACGTGGTATTTTTTATCATTCCCTATACTCAACCCTTCCTTAAGTAAAATGGTTTTCAGATTATGATTACTGAATTTATTCTCCCAGAATATTTGATGCACAATAATTCTAATTAAAAGACAAGAAGTATATCATAAAAAAGCACTACTATACCATGGGCAGCCAGTACAGCAAAGGTCCTATTGCATAGATGACTATAAGGACGAAAATGCAAGATATTAGACAGGCCACCTGTAAAATACAAGACAGACAAAACAGAAAGCCTTGGACTCTATTGTTATTTCAACACTATGGGAATAGGAGCAAGACACAATATGTTAGCCTATCATTGTTAGATTGGATGGACTGTCCTTATCTATGTTTTGCAGTCAAGAGGCATCAAATCTAACAGTTGACAAACTGGTGCAACCAAATGAAGACAGTTATGAGACAATTCTCACACACACACACACACACACACACACACACACACACACACACACACACGACACCATTTGTTTGTACCACACATCATAGCCGTGGTGGCTAGTTGCTAGTGAGAGTAAGGCCTCTGAGGAAAGTTCTATGGCCTAACTCACTATTTTCTAGAGGGTCATGTCAGAAACCACTGAAGATTTCACAGGCTGGTGTTCTCTTCTGTTAATGACACATTTGTACCACAGTGCCCCCTCTCCCTCCTCTCTCTCTCCTCCCTCTCCTTCCTCTCCTCTCTCTTTTTCTCTCTCTACACCCCCCCCCCAGCTCTTCACAAGGAACTCTGGCAATGGAGTGGCCAGATGGGGTTGCAGGAGCAGTCTCTCTGTTGCCAGTGCGACAGACTTCATTTTACTAATCCCAAGAGTCTTCAGATCATGCTCTACCCACAGAGCCTGCTGACAGAGGTCAATAGCCACCACTTGCCTCCCACAGCAATGAGGGAACCTCATTTCCCAGAAGCAGAAGTTCCTGACTCCATAAAAACATTTAGCCAAACTGCCACCCTAAGAGGCCTTTCACTGGTCCTCAAAGGTTCCTAAGACATCATTGTGAAGATGCCAGAAGGAATCTTGTACTGGAATGGCTTAAATGTAAATTTAATACATGAATAATTTCAAAAACCTGGCAAGGACAAAGGACGGTCTCTGACAATGCTCTTGGGGCAATGCAGATACTTGGAAAGCAGTGGTCTATCTTACCCAGTGATGCACACATTTACCGTAGAGCTACAAAGAATGGACAGGTATGGAATATCCCCCAAACAACAGGATAAAGCAAATGTGTGGAACTCAAAGCCACAAGGACACGATTCTGTACCGATGACAATTTTTAAAACAGAAAAATTATAGGATGACAGAGGATGGAAGTAGTCACCAGAAATTAAATATAATTAGGCATGGGGAAATGCCCATTTTGAAATGATAGAAATATTTTATATACCGATTTTGTGATGTATGTGTATACACACACACACACACACACACACACACACACACACATTTATCTTGATACAGTGAGCTTTACACATAAAAGTGCTGTTGGTTACTAGAGCCAATACACACTGTAAGGGTGATTTTAAAGAAATCTAATGTATCTGAAACAACTTCTGGCATAGGGGCGGACACACTGGGACCAGCCAGCATGGATGCTCGTCTTGCACTCGCTGCCTTTGAAGGAGATGCTGTGGGAGGAGGGGTCCCAAAATAGGAGCATGATGATGACTCAACTCATCAGACATTCCCATGGGTTACAACATGTTTAAATGGACAGGAAATACACCAACTGCTAAGCTTTACCTCAGTCAATGACATTTGTCTACTCCATGGGACTTTTTCAGTCCAAGCCTTATAATAGACATCCAAACAAATTCAGTCCTGGGAGATGAAATGAACACAAGCTGAAGTCAACATTCCTGGGAAGGATCCGAGACCCAGGGAGAGTGAGACTCATCCAAGGTCGGGGAGTAAGGGGAGGAGATATGTAAAAGGTAACACGAAGCCAGCACTGGATCCTGATCCTGTGATTTGGGAGTTTTCGTTTTTTGTTGGTTGTTTAAGTTTATTTCACTTTCTTTGGATTGTCTTTTCATTCAGTGCAATGTGTATACATTAGCCACTAAAAAATATGTGGTGGTTTAGAGAATATTGACTGCTTATTTTTTAAACTTATTATGTTATGTGTGTGGGTGTTTTGTTTGGATATGTGTTTGCACACCATGTGCCTGGTAGTCATGGAGGTCAGAAGAGGGTGTCAGATTCTCTGGATCTGGACTTAACAGATGGTTGCCACCGTGGGTGACAGGAATTGAACTCTGGTCCTCTGAAGTAGTAGTCGGTGTTCTAAATTGCTGGGACATCTCTCCAGTCCAACTTCCTTATCTTTAAGTGAAAGTTTAATTTAGTACAAGCTGACATGTGTGAAAAATTCTTCTAACCCTATGGAGAGTTGCAGGTGGTGGGAAAACTGAATTTAATAAGAAATTGGGGCTATTGCAGGACATGGGCAGGGACAATCTCTCTCTTCCCCTGCCTGTTTCTCTAAGGAAGGTCAAGTGACAATCTTGTTTTTAATGGTTTTAAATACTGACAATAAGCCCAATGCACAAATGTTGAATTTCCACAGAACTGCTTACTTTTCTATTTTGTTCTCTTTATTAACCATGTGTTCCTTTTTTTTCCTCCTAACCCTGAAGTAGAGCATTTATCACTCTCCTAATTTTAGATATTGTCTCAGATTTAAAGAGGAGCATTTGGTTCCCAGCACTGGCAATGGAGATTTTGTGAACACATATTCAATTCAATTTGGCATTGTTCAAAGTGAGGCAGTTCACCAAGCTAGAGATTTCCAAAGCTATTTTTTAAAGTTCCTGGTTATATTCTAATAAGGATGTTATAAAAAAAACTACACAGCAACTACATAATAGTAAATAAAATGCTCATCTTTGAGGCGTTTCACTAATAATACTCAATTTGTTTCCTTTTCGTGTCAGAAAGAAAACGGCACAAGTAAGACCTCAATTGCTTCTGGAAAGGTTTAGGTTATACCCTGAAGTGTTCACATTCCTACCATCCATAAGACAATCAGCTATGTATGTTTTCTTCAGTACTTTCCATGTCATGCCGACTAAAGGCCTCCTGATAATTTCTGTCTTCATTTTTTTTTTTTTTTTTTTTTTTTTTTAGGGAGGGGGTGTTCCAGGCAGGGTTTCTCTGTGTAACAGCTCTGTCTGCCCTGGAACTTGTTTTGTAGACCAGGATGACCTGAAGCTCATAGAGATCCGCCTGCCTCTGCCTCCCAAGTGCTGGGATTAAAAGCGTGTCTTAAATGTTAAGCAGTCATGTCTAAGAGTTAAGTCTTCATAGAAGTTAATGAAATCTTTATTTTCCCGTTTTATTACAAGGTTACATACATATATGTATGTGTACATATGTAAACGTTACATATAAATTCTGTGTTGGAGGGACAGAGGGAATGAAGAGGTGCAGCACTCATTTGGGCTGTCGATCTCAGCAGCACCGTTCTATACTGCTCAATCCGAGGATGACCACCAAAGGCACTAGTGTCCTCCATAGATGCACAATGCTCAGTTGAAAAGGAGATGAAAATGGTTTGCACGGATTTATGAAAAGTGGTAGAACTGTAAAAGAGATAGGAAAGGGCAGGAAGAAAGAATAAAAGGTAGGACAGTAGGCAACACAGCTAAATTAAGACGGCCTTGAAGAAGATGCAAGCAACGAGCCAACTTCTGGAAGAATAAAAGCAATACAGTTTTGCAAATCGGAGCCCAGCGGAAATCTTAGCATTGCAGAAAAGCATGCCAGCTGCTGTTTTCAGTTGTGGATGCACAGCCTCTGCAGCAGATGCTGTCTGCCATCCCTCATGGTTCTGTGATCTTCCTGAAGGCCCTGAGAAGCACTGATGTGTCTCCGCTGTTGGAAGTGGAGAAAAGCGTGCAGGAGAGGGAGCCAGGGGCAGAGTTAGCATTTCAGTTCAGAGCCCCCTGCAGAGTTAGCATTTCAGTTCAGAAAGAAGGGAAGCAAGAAACAGTATCCGTGTGCTGTTTGTCTTACTCTCCTAAAGGCTGCCTTAGATCCACAGGCTTTGGGCATTGCGTATAAATAACATAGTTAAGGGCATTTCCACATGTAGAGGATGCCTGTGTGTCTGTGTCTTTGACCTCAGCACTTGCTACTAAATGATCAGCATCTTTTGTTATACCTATTGAAACAGTTTAGTTTTACTGAGACACCGAAGTTGTTACCTTCCACTCACTCACATAAAATAATTGTAAACTGCCACTCACTCAGATAAAATAGTTCTCTATTCCCTGCCCAATTATCACCATGATGGCTCCTAAGTACTTGAACTGTGTCTAGTTAAGATTAGGCTACAGATGTAAAATATATACTAGATTCCTAAGCTTTATTGAAAAAAAAATACAAAAAATATTGTGTATAGTTCTTTAATCCATGTTGAGATTATAATAATTTTACCCCATCAGGTCAGTTAAAAATGTATTAAAATGAATTTTAATAGGTTTTCATTTTTAAAGATGTGGCCACAGGATAATTTAAATTACGTGGGTAGCTCATATTATATTTCTGTTCAACAGAACTTCTAAGCATGTGATCAAATGCCTGATGTTAAATGGAAGTTTTCCAACAACAATGGACTACAATACATTTAAATTTTATTAATAACAACATAAACGGTCTTTGGTCTGTCTGGTCAAACTCCTAGCTTTTCAAAGGTGAACTATTGCAAACTGGATTCCTGGACTGGAGTGATGACTTAGCTGGTAATATGCTTGGCATAGGAACACCAGTACTATGGTTTTCATACCCAACACCAACATTTAAAAATCTGGGCATGGCAGCACATACTCATAATTCCAGTGCCAGGGAGGAGGAGACAGGAGGATTCCAGGAGCTCACTGGCCAGCCAGCCTAGCCTACTTTGCAAGATTCCATCCAATGAGAGACCCTGTCTCTAAAAAACAAGGTAAACCGTGCCCATGAAATGACACCCAAGGTTCACTTCTGCTCTGCACACACATGTGCATGTATACCCACAAATGCACATGAATTTACATACGCGTGAACACGGGCAGCCTACAAATACACACACACACAGGCAGACAGGCAAAGTTAAGTGACTGAGAAAACTTGTCTAAGAAAGCACTAGAGTAGGTAGGAAAAACAATTTTCTGAACTGTGAAAAGCCTTTTCTGGGGCTGAAGGAAGAAATTAAATGATGGTGCTTTTCTCTTAACAGGAAGATCGCTCTGGTGCTGTTGTTTGTAGAGCAAGGGACTGAGTCCTGTGCATGGCAGACAAGTGCTCCTTTATCAGATCCATCTCTAGCCTTACATAGAGAACTATCATGGTGACGTATTCCTATGAGAATACTGAAACTGTTGTAGGTGGTAAAGTAATTAATAAAGGTAATATGCTTACCACTCGTGCTTTCAGGAGTTTTAATTAGCTAAAAAGTCGAAGGGCTCTTGTGTGTTCCGGGTTAATTTAGTAGGTATGCGTTCCAGTGCGTAGGAGAGGCAGAGCCCTCGGAGGGCCTACACTGTGAAATCATGATGTGTGGAGAAAGGCTTTCACTCCCAGCCTGTTCAGAGTCACACTTTGAACATGTGGTTAGAGCTCTCTCTGGGCAACACCAGTTATCAACTATACCTATATTACCCTTAGTGGTTACAACATAAATGGTCTGAACCGGGTACCAAAGCACCCTCAATTTGAGCATGCACATTAGTTCAGATTCTTTTCCTGTGCAATCAGATAGGCATGGTTAGGAAATGGTTTCCACCTCAGCAAGCAGGGTAGCCTGAGACTATTCTGCTGGTGGGCTTTGGTATTCTGCTAGGTTAGTTTCCTTTTATGTTTGATGCATAGATTGTGGGGGGGGTGAGTCTTAATTAAGTAAGAAGACTTTATAAATGTTCTAATCATTCAAACATGTGACCTCCAGAAGGAATGCCCCTGTTCCTGTCCTAGTAGGTGATGTCATTGACCTGCTCAGATTTTATAATTAGGACCAGTTTTCTAACATTTTCTTCCTCTTAAACACTCAGTGTTGAAAGTTACAAAGACTGATCAGAATTTTCTTGTCGCTAAAGCAATGATAAGAAATGCATGCAAAGCACCTAAGGCCAGAGAGAGCACACATCAAGGTGAAGCCACCTCAGGACTGTACACCAGTCTCTTTGTCCATAAGACAGTGACATCATCAGCTTTCTCAAGCACCCCCAGCAAGTGTGGATGAAGAGCATCCTAGTCAGCCACAGAAGCATCCTCGGCAAGTGTGGATGAAGAGCATCCTAGTCAGCCACAGAAGCACCCTCAGCAAGTGTGGATGAGGAGCATCCTAGTCAGCCACACAAATGTCTTTGCTTAAAAACAACAATAGAAATGTAATAAAAAATCAATTGTAATCATTGACATTTCAAAAGTGGTCTTTTATGTACTTAGGTGTTTCACTAGCTAAGCATGTATTGATTCATTAATCTTTATATAGTTGTAATTCTCCTTTATCAGCTGAGCCCATTAAGCTAGAGGAATTGAGTTACTATTGCAAAACCATCCACCTGTATGTGATGGCACCAGAGGGCAAGCCTAGTTTCTAGAACCTACTCAATATTTTTCATTCATTGAGCCTAAACGTAAAAATAACTAACCTAGCATAATTCACTTTTATAAGAGATGTCTGAAGAAAAAGTAGAGAAGCCTAGAATATTACAAAAAGGAGTCTTGAAAGTAAACAATCACCTACAAAGATGACCCCAACTAACAATCTAAGCAATGGTGGAGAGGCTACCTTAAATGTCCTTCCCCAATAACGAGATTGATGACCTTATAGCCTTCATCCAGTAGCTGATGAAAGCAGAAGCAGACACCCACAGCTAAGCACTGAGCCGAACTCCTGGAATCCAGTTGCAGAGAGGGATGGGTGATGAGCAAAGGGATCAAGACCAGGCAGGAGAAACCCACAGAAACAGCTGACCGGAACAAGGGGGAGCTCATGGACTCCAGTATGATAGCTGGGAAACCAGCATAGGACTGACCCAGACTCCCTGAATGTGGTGTTAGTTAGGAAGACTGCACAAGTCTATGGGGCCTCAGGTAGTGGATCAGTATTTATCACTAGTACACAGTGGACTTTGGGAGCCCATTCCACATGGAGGGATACTCTCTCAGCTTAGACACATGGGAGAGGGCCTGGCCCCTGCTCCAAATGAAATGACAGACTTTGAAGACTCCCCATGGAAGGCCTCACCCTCCCTGGGAGCAGAAAGGGGATGGGATGGGGTTGATGGGGGAACTGTAACGTCTGCTCTATTTTTTTTAACTGAATTTTGTGGAAATTTCAGACCTGAGCACTGTATTTACATCATTTCCACCCTGACTCTGCCTATTCTGCCTATGTTTCTCTACCCCTTCTCAAACCCATGCAGGAACTGGGATTGATATGTAAAACAAGCTTGTTTCTAATTTAAATAAAAAAGAATTTTGCTTCTCAAACAAGTTATGGTAATTGTTTGTTGAATTGTAATGTATTCAAAATTGATTGTTGCATGCTCCTCTGCTCTACAGTGTATAGTATCGGTCTTATTCACTACTTTACTATTTATCCATATTTAGCCTGATACTTGCCCCCAAGGTTGCAATTCTGCACTTTTCTTATGCATATTCTACAATTTAAAAACTATATTATTAAATATAAGATAAATAAACTTCTAATAAATGTTTTACTTTTCCCATAAAATAGTTTATGGATTCGCATTCAATTCTTAGTTTATGCACGAATTGTTTAATAATGGTTAGCTGCTACTGTAAATTTCTGATGATGGACATCAATTTTCTTGATGGGTCACTAGTCAAGAGTGCAATCATTCCTAATTGAAATCCTAGCTTTGCCACTCGCTAGGTCTGTGGCCTGGTATTATATAACAGTTTGCAGAGAAGCTCCTTAAGCCAGGAGGTAAACAACCCACAGTAGCTTCAGAAAGTCCCTGAGGCTGACCAGATTCACCGGGCCCTCCTTCCCAAGAGTAATCAATAAAAGCCGAAGAGAGTCAAGTGCAGACAAGCAAAGCTTTGAATAATACCCCGAGAAAAGCCCAACTGCATGGCTGAAGCAGGAACCAGCTACTTGAAGAGGTTTAGACCAGCTTAGGCGCATGGAAAGGGCACTCTCTAACCACTGAGCTACCTGCCTGCTGTGCTGGCTGTGCAGTGTGCTCCCAGCTCCCAGCCTTTGTGAGCTGTCACCAAGCTGGGATGGGCTTTGATAGCAAATCTGTCTTTTAATCATTAGTTTCCCAAGTTGGAACTACATGGGTGCGTGTTGGGTCTCCCCAGGAAAAATTTTGTTACACAACACCTGGAGACCCAACACACACACACGTAGTTCCAACTTGGGAAACTAATGAGTTTTATTGAGGTTACATAGAGTAATGTGAGTGAGGGTTTACGTATAAGAGCATAAATGATTAAAAGACAGATTCAATTATCTGACACAGAAACTGAGAACAATTTTACATCTTTCAACGAGTTGTCTAAAAGATTGAGACTGTTTATACATAAAGTAAGACGCCCAATGCCTGACACATAATTCAATATTGTCTCCACCACCATCAATACCATCATCTCTATTATCATCATCCTGCCATTGCAGCATAATGCCTGGTATATAGCAGGCTTGCAAAAACGTTGATATATATATATATATATATATATATATATATATATATCCTTTAACACCAAATATTCATATATATATATACATATATATATATATATATATATATATAGTGTCAAGAACTGATTCGGCATAGGCTTGGTTTTATTTTATATCAAGGAGGAGAACAAAATAGATAATAATAATAATAATAATAATAATAATAAAGTCACCCAGACTGTTTAGGTTACTGAGACACCACTAGAGGGAGCCCTGGCTTCAAGATTGCTAATAATAGAGCTGCCAAGGGTACAGTATTCAGCAGTTCTTTGAATCATTGAGCCAGTGGGAAAGTCATTAATGAGAAAGATAAGAAAAGAAAGGTAGAGGGCGACAACGGGAAATAAGGAGCAGGAGAGGGATGGAGAAAGGGTTTCTAGAAGCTGCTTAGAAAATACAAATTAGCACCATTTTCGAGGCTCAATCTCTCTTGTACTCTGAGAAGGGGGTGATGGCCCCACCCACAGCCCCTTTCCCTGAAGAATAGTTGTTACCTGTGTCTTTGCTCCTGTGCTGTACAGACCAGCCGTTCTTCCCATGGCGGCAGCACTTGGGATACAGAAGAAAAATGAAGGGATCACATTGCTGAGGCCGTGAGCCAAAAATTCCTGCAAGATTAGTTATGGGAGAATAGAGCATTTCTTTATCACAATCCCCTTCAATAGTCCCAGGTACAACTCGTCCAAAAATGGTGCTTGTTTATGCTCAGTTCCAGTCTTCTCGTCAGTTGGGATGTAACAATTTATAATACTAATGGCTAACGTTCATTGGTGGTTTACAATCCTCCAAAACTACTGAAAGTGCATCACTCTTTCAAGAAACTCGTGAGGAAATTCTATTTATTCATGATTTCCACTGCCCATTACTATAGGGTAAGTTGCCCCCATTGGGCTTCTTTTCCCACCCTATCCTCGTTGACTTCTGTCTAACTCCAATGGCTACTTCTTACCTTAACTGGTATAAAGAAGCATTTGTCACAGTTGCGTATTTCATACTTCTTTAAAACCCCCTTCAGTTGGCTTCTAGGACCTCACACTCCAAGTTTCCCCTTAGCTCTCTGACTGCCACTTCTCAGGTTCCATTGATATCTAACCTATTGTAAATGTAGGACTATTTCTCTTCTGTGTCTACATTCTTAACTACACAGACATAAACTGGCATCTCCTGCAATTACATCTTCAGCGTGGACTCCTCCTCAACTTCTGACTCTTATATCCAACCTGTTACTTGGCATCCACATTTGACGGTTAATGGGAACTCAGTAACTAGTCTAAGGGCTATCCCATCCCAACCACATCCTCCCATGCCTAGCCCTCAAACTGTACAGTCATCCATGACTCTCCCCAGAACCTCCATCTGCAGTGTGCATCCACACATGGCCTTCTTCACCAGGGCCTGCTCAAGTCATCACGTTTCTACTGGATGAATGAAAACTCCTTCTAACCCCTTGCCTGCTCCTGTTGGCATTAGCTATTGTAAGCAATTGTCTCTGTTCTCACAAGAAAATGGAGATGGCAAATAGACAGACTAAGACAGCGAGTAGTGAAGGGTGTGGAGAGGCCTGGATTTGAGGAGTTTGGTCAACAGGACTCTTCCTATGAAGTGAGGATCTCAATGAGGAAGTTGTACAGATGTGTGAGGGGACAGGATTCACTGGAACTAGAGCTGTGAGTGCAAATTCCTCAGCTCCAGGATCTGACTAGTGAGTTCGGGAAAATGTGGCTAGGATGTATCCTAAGATACCAGACAAGAAATGGGATCCTGAAGACATACAGTCTTGTAACCATGGTAATGAGGGCTGTGATTTGAACATGAAAGCAGGAAGGCTCTGGGAATTTGTGGGGAGATGAAGACATTCAATGTGTAGTTCACTGTTTTATCCCTGGCATGTCTAGCAGGGCTTAATACACACATATACAGAGAGAGCTGAAGTCATACAATCCCAGTGTGAGTTCTGTGTGCAGGGATAATGTGCTTGTAGGTAGTACACTGAAGCTTCTGTTAAGGCCCACGGAGCCATGTGGGGACTCAGGACATGACAAGGACACTGGGAGAAACAGATTCAGTAAACAAGTATGTTCGTGCTCTCAGGTATGTAGGAACAAGACTTCACACCCTGTAGTATCTTAATATTCGTGTTCTGCTTTGAAATCCCTGAGAGCTCAAAGTTATCTATTGTGAAGTGATAAATATGCTTGGATTCTCTCCTGAAACCAAATGAAAGAACAAGAAGGTATAGGTCTCTAAAAAATGGACTTAAGGGTCAGTGAGATGACTCAGCAGGTGAAGACATTTCGACCAAACCTCATGACCTCAGTTCAATCCCAGGGCTCACACGGTGAAGCAGAGAACAGAACCCTGGAGGTTGTCCTCTGGCACACATGCAATAAGAGGAAAGAATGAACAAATTAATGTGGTACAGACTTGGAAAGCTGGGCTCTCAGCTTCCCGGAATGACTCAGAGACGTTGCTGTTTTGTTCTGCCCATTCTTGCCACACATTTAGAAAAGATGTATATTCAAACATTTGACATTTTGAGTACCACAGAGTCCATGGAACAGTAAAACACCCTGGCTACAGAGGGGCTGGGGGTACACTCCACCTGGTTGTCATCAACTGAATATTTGAACTTCTTGGCAGATCCTTGAGCAAGAGCCAGTGAGGCCACATAGCCTACAAGTGCAACTCCGAAAGCTTCAGTGAGCACTGCGGAGAGGATGTTCATTGGTGGAGCACGGGGTGGAGGGATCCTAAGGAAAGAAAGATTGGATTAAAGCTACGAACCTTCCTGTTGTTTCTGTAACAATTTGCCACGGATTCCACTGCCCTAATGTTTCTGAAGTTTACAGGGGATACATGAAAGGCCCAAGTGAAAAAAGCAAAAAACAAAACAAAAAACAAAAAAAAAAAACCAAAAAGAAAACTAAACATCCTTTTCCAGAGAAGCCCTGTGTTTTCACCATTATTTAGCTGAGAAGCAAAATTGTAGGAAAGACCACAGGGAGAGCCCCGTGCATTTAACTGATATTCATGTACAGGGAATTCAGGTCATACCGCAGAAATTCTGACTGGACAAAAGTTTCTAGCAGAAAACAAAAGCATATCTGGGCCTTCCTTTCACTTGAACTTTTCCAAATATTTGGCTGGCACTGAAGCTGTGTTTCCTCCCTAGAATGCTGCAGAGTTCCAGACAAACACTAGCTTACTTTACTGTCAGCTAATCTCCAAATATGCCGTTGACTTCATTACGGTAATTAAGTTTTTAACTCGGTCCTTTCATGAGACAGCTAATCATGGCTTACACAAACGAGAGAAAATATGTAGGAAGATCTCATCTACTCTCTGTTGCAAAACAGACCACACTTAGCTTCGTTTCAAAGAAATCTTTAAAACATTTCTCAGCTCATACCCAGTCATTATGTCTTACTGTCCCTTGAAAACCATGTAAGCCAAATGACCATCTATGTATCCCTTGTCATTTTGGGAGACTTATCTCTGCCACACATACCCCAAAGAATCCCTGTGGTAAAAAGAAAAGGGGGGAGGAGTGATTTCATACTGGTTGGTGTCTTACTATCTAGTCTGTGAGTAGAATGTGGGCTCTATCTCATTAACCGTTCGATTTAACTTTCCCAACAACCCCAAATCATGTACACCACAACTACTGTGAGGGTTAGAAAATGTTTGGAGGGGGTTACAAGGAGGACAGCTGAGCGGGGACTCGGTCTCAAAGCCATGCTTTTCTGCCTTTTCTCACAAGGGTCTCTGGAAACGGAGTTCAGGTAAGGGTGAACAAGAGTAATGGAGAGGAGCCATGAATTGTCGCCCACTCACTACCCCTTACTCCCAAGACAGACTTTTCTGACCACACATCCTAAGATCCACATTACACAAAACTTGAAATGAAGAAAGGGAACTGTTATTTCATTAAAGTTAAAAATGATTCGTTAATAAAACCAGGGCTGGCTTTCAAAGGAAAAGCTGGCTCAGAAGTTAAGAGCCCTTGCTGCTCTTGCAGAGAATCTAGATTCAGTTCCCAGCAACCACACAGCAGCCCCAAATCAAAGGAAACGCAGAACCGTTACGAAAGTTGCCAACTGAGGACACCCTCCTTTGCCCGCATCTGTATGGGCCAGCAGACACAGGATTTCTTTTTGTTTTGTCTTTTAGTTTCTGAGAAATTTTCTATTTCTCTGTTTTAAAAGGTTAAAAAAATAAAATATACAAGATCCAACAACTCTAACTTTGTCTCAAAATTTTTCCGTGTCTGTGTTAGGTAGCCCATAAGAAGGGGACTGACTCCTAAGGAATTCGTTTTCTCTGCTATATCTTGTCAGCCTGTCTTTGGAAGGACCTTTATCCTTTCACTATGTTAACTATGTAAAATAGTCTCTTGAAGTCCGCAGGAACCCTAGAACGAGGTGGGGAGGCACGCTCCACCTTACCCTTCTCTATAGTTCTCAGGCCTGTGAGCTTCCGATTCCACGGGATGCTTGTTTACATTTCTCATAACTTAAGTGAAATAAAAATGGCCACAAGAACTTCTGTAGCTCAAGAATTAAGTTGGGCCAAGTGCAGCAGTTTGCAAATTTAGTAACCGCCATTATTTTGTAAATACTTTTGGAATCTTTTACTTGAAGAAATGCTGCATAAAACAATTACATGATTATTTAACAACAGGTTAGCTCATATTCTAGAAAATTACTATTTTTCTCCACATGTTGATTTAGTCACTTATAATAAAAGTTAATTAGAATTTTGCCTCATACAGCCACAAAAAGAAATGAAATCCATACGTACCCAGCCCCGGTCCCTTTGAACATCAAAAACAAACATGCAGATAAACACAATTAAAAGAAAGGCTACATTACCCATTTGGAATGTGTCCAACTACTTCTAATCCGTATGTGCTTTCCATGTTGGTACAATAGCAAGCAAATGAGGCAGCAATGATCTGTGTGGTTCAATGTGAAAAACAAAGAAAGACATATACATCTCTGTGTGTATGACTACCTGGCTTTCAAACACCTACGACCACTTAAAACACATATTATTGACCCAGAATTATTTACTGAAATACTAAGAGGTAATCCAGGAGTGGTGTTAGATGTCTAATTCTAGCAGTCACGATGCCGAGACAGAAGGATCTCAACAGTGAGAGCAACCTGGGCTATACAATAAGGTCCTGGGTTGAAAGAAAAAGAAGGGAGGAAGGAAAGAAGGAAGGAAGGGAGGGAGAGAGGGAGGGAGGGAAGAGGAAGGGAGGAAGGGAGGAAGGAAGGAAGGAGGAAGGGAGGAAGGAAGGAAGGAAGGGAGGGAGGAAAAGAAAGTAGGAGAGGGCTAAGGATAAATGTTTAACAGGCATAGGGTGAACTAGATTAGGAAGCACTAACTTCTGATGTCTTGGAACACAGTTCAATAAATAGCTACCATTGATAATGACTAGCCATGTATTTCAAATTCCACAGGAAGAGGATCTGGAATGATCCAGTACAAAAGAATGGAAAATAACCAAGCCAACAGATGTACCAATGATTTTCATCTGATAATTAAACAGTAAACAGTGTCACAAGGCCACACTGAACTAAGTATGTACAGTCACCAATCGGGTGTTGAGAGCAACTCTAAAATACACTTCTAAAATTCAGGATGTTCCTCTGAGTTTTCAAAGTACAGAATGTACAATCTCATGGTTTTTCTAACATTCTACTTTGTACCCACCCAATTATGTCCCCTTTTGAAGACACGAAAGACACAAAATGCCGTGGTCTCTCTCTGTGTGTGTATGTGTGTGTGTGTGTGTGTGTGTGTGTGTGTGTGTGTGTGTATGCCCGCTTGCATTTCAGCCTACTCAGGACATTAAGGAATACTTCTTGAGAATCTTGAGAACATATTTTCCCTCTGTGAGAGCAGCTTCTCAGGAGTGTTCAATGTTATTATTCTGCTAGTAGTAAATGCTGACTAACAGCCTCCTTTTTTTTTTTTTTTGGTTTTCTTTTTTAACTCTTTCATAAAGTCAAACATGCCAGTTCCCAGCCTGGTAGAAAAAAATGAGTTTCAGATGGTCCTTTGATGTTATTTGTATATTCAAGCAAGGTCACTTGCTCTCTCTACAACTAGTGTGTGTGTGTGTGTGTGTGTGTGTGTGTGTGTGTGTGTGTGTGTGTGCATTATTGCCTGTATATGGGCACACATTTGCCTTTTAGGTGGAGAGCTTAGGTTAGATGATAGGAAAAGATGCTGATGAACATAGTTCATGTCAGTTCTTCTGACCTATTACTATACAACTTCATGACCCACTACTATAAGAATAACCACTGGGGTAAATTAAAAACTGGTTTATCACCTAAAAACAGGACTTGAGAAATCTGTGGACAAATAGAAATAAAGCCTTAAGATGGAATGATTCATCTTCTTTAAATGGATACATCAATCTTATAAATAAAATACAAATTTCCCATAAGCACAATCGGAGAAAAAGCATAACAAAATTACACTATCAAGTAAGGAACATCTAACAAGCAATGCTCAAAAATAAGTAGCAGCTTTTGTAGTTATGCTCCTAACTACGCCTTCTGATAATGTTTAACTGAACTTACAAGTTTCTAAAACATCAAACGGGCTTAAAAAGAAAATACTATTTTGGATTTAACAAAGAAAAAGCAAGAATAAACCATACAAATATTAATGTGATATAATAGTATTCTCTAACTTACTGACACAGTCATGGAGACAGCACCCCACTTTCTTGTTGAATTTCTATAACATGATTTAATTTTTTATCTGTTGAGTCCACCAGCTCCTGGTTAATATTGTGTTAATATTATAGGTATGCCAGCACTGCTCTTCGACATGGGCAGAAAGGGATTCTGCCCCAGATGCTAAAGATAGTTGTAATCTGGCCTTCCTCCAACTGTCACATTCCCCATAAGTTGGAAGCTTTATGAGAAAAAAGAAGAGGAGACCAACTCAAATTCTACCCTTGCTTCTCCTCTGTGCTGCAAATGCACAGTATCTATCATCCCCTGCTTATCTGGCACCTAGCTTGGATGCAGTGGATCTTCCCTACCAGAATGACCCTGGGAAGACCAAGAGAGTCAGTGGTGATGGTACAGTGGCCATGTCCAAATTGAGACTGGTCCAGGGATATCTATGTGTGTACACAGGATACCTTATGAGTAGGATGAAACTGGTGTGGGAGGGGAAGAGCAGGCCTAGAATGGATCTCCTCATTCTCCTCATGCTGTTACATTGTCCCAGACTCAAAGGAGTCTATTGTAACCTGGTTTCCAAGGTCATCGCTTAGATACACTAGTCAAGGTTAAAAGGAACAAAACAAAAGAAAAACCAGAACCTGCTTTCTTTAACATTTTGTTTTGTGACTCTTTAGTATTTGGGCTTGCACTGGTGCTTCTGCCAAGGATTTTGAAAGGCCAAGCCATCTCAAGGATATCTGTCAGTGTAGGAGCAACACTCACCAGTTGCTTAGAGAAGGACATTTGCTTTAAGACTAGACTGGGGACCTGTCTCCCAAAGGTTATTTTCTAATTTTGGTTTATAAAAACTTTAATATAGTTTTCCAAGATACAATAGGCATTTCTTAACCTCTCCATATTTGAGATAAGATAGCATGAATCATGTCATAACATTGCAATTAATGAAGTTATTTAGATGTTGTTTATAACATACATGAAAATCCAAGGACCATTTAAAGTGCATTAACATGGACTATGGGCATGTCAATGTGATACTTTACTGTATGCTCCTGGGAAAGGCTTTTGAAACTTCAATCCTAAGAAGTAAGATAGGATGGATTTGTTCAGTCACAAAACATATTCTAAAGAAATAGTCCTGGCCAATGGATATCTTGACTATCTTTTCAGAGGAGTAAAATTGGTTCAGAAACAGGAAAGATCAACAAACCTTCCAATCACTGATGCTTGTTTGCCAGACAATCGTTCTGTATGTGTTACAAAAGTGTCATGGCAATAGCAGAGGGTGTCATATTTTGTTACTCTGCATAGTATCATATCCAATAACATTTGAGACTCACTCTTAAAGACATCTCTTATGAGATCTCAGGCGATATGTTCTCTTATTTTTATAAAAAATTAAAAGCATATGAGAAATGCTGTATAAATTGAAAACATATGTCCTTCCTTTTAAAATTATTGACTCAAAATGTTTCTTACATTAATGTATATCCATGCAAATTAGTCTTTCGTTAATGAGACACAGGAATGGCTGTGGGTTACTGCAGAAAATACAGTAAGCATCTACAGACTTAACCCCACTCCCCAAAAACAACTAAGTGTTGTTGATTTCATACTTACCAAAACTAAATCGACAGGAAGAACAACTTTAATTTTTCTTTTAAACTGTTCATTCAGCTCTTTAACGAGAACAAGGACAACAATGCTCAGCAAGGATAAGAGCAGCGCTTCCAGCTGAACAGACTTGATGTTCTCAAAAACATATGCATAAATCTACAGGGATGAGAAAGCAGCAAAATCAGAGGCGCACACAAAAAAAACCAAAAAAAAACAAAAAAAAAAAACAAAAACAAAAACAAAACACCAGGATGCAAAGCTGGCCTTAAATAAACTCCATGATGCTTTATTTAAAAAGTCCTAATGACCAGAGCACGAGAATACGTACTGGAAAGGGAAAAGCTCTATTTCTGTGTCTTTGGTTCATTCATCCAACTCAGGTCAGTCTCTTCCTACATAGGACAGTACTAAAGAGAATGATTCCCCTCACTCCTTTGATACCTGAATGGACAAAAGGCACCCACCATACCATCTAAATCCCATCATCCTTCCAAATTTAGCAGGAACATATACACATATGTTGAGAGCTGGTATGTAATTGACATCAAACACTTGACTATTGTAATCTGTTACCATGTTCTCAGTTACTCAACATCCATCTGTTTATCACCACATATGTATGGCGGTTGACAATGGTGAACAGCCTTAGTATTCATAGATTTCACCACACAGTATATGGATTAATACTCAACTAATCAGTTAGTATGACATGATGGTAATAATACAGATTGGATACCTGAAGTATATGACTAAATGTATGAGCCATGAGTATTGCCCTTCCGAAGCCAGTAAATAGGAACTAAACAGGCTACAGACAGGAAGGGGAGAGGAAGGAGTCTATGGAAATATTTTGCATTAAGGTCACATTTAGGAGAGGAGGACATGAGGGAGCAGGAAGATTGAGCCGGGGGGGGGGGGAGAATAGAAGAGAGCAAGAAAAGAGATGCTACAATCGAGGGGGGCATTATAGGTTTAAAGAGAAATTGGCACTAGGGAAATGTCCAGAGATCTACAAGGGTGACCCCACCTAACAATCTAAGCAATAGTGAAGAGGATCCCTTAAATGCCCTTTCCCAATAATGAGATTGTTGACTACCTTATATGTCATCCTAGAGCCTTCATCCAGTAGCTGATGGAAGCAGAAGCAGACACCCACAACTAAACACTGAGCCAAACTCCTGGAATCCAGTTTCAGAGAGGGAGGAGTGATGAGCAAAGGGGTCAAGACCAGGCTACAGAAACCCACAGAGGCAGCTGACCTGAACAAGGGGGAGCTCATGGACTCCAGATTGATAGGTGGGAAGACAGCATAGGACAGACCTAGACTCCCTGAATGTGTGTGTTAGGAGGGCTGAGCAGTCTATGGGTTCTCTGGTAGTGGATCAGTATTTATTTCTAGTGTACATATGGACTTTGGGAACCCATTCCATATAGATGGATACTCTCTCAGGCTAGACACAAAGGGGAGGGCCTAGGTCCTACCCCAAATAATATGACAGACTTTGAAGATCCCCCATGGAAGGCTTCACCCTATCACATTGGATTTGTTTATGTATGGATGGATTTCTGTTTTATGCCACTATCCAACTATAATTATGATCTCAGAAGTGCTGAACTAGTTTATTACGTTGATTGGCCAGTTCTAACAAACTTGGATATTCATCTGCACAGCTTTGCTGTTGCTTCCCTGACCTCTTAGAAGTCAATGATGATCCCTTTAGGAACTTTTAACTGGTGTAGAGAGTGTTATCAATATATGGAGACAATGGGTAGAAATAATTCTTAGAGTAGAAAGAAGTTTAACATGAGTTTATGATGCCCAGAGCACTACTAAGTGGTCATATAGAAATGCTTGTGTCTATCCTTACCTCCAGCCCTGCAGCATCTACATGTGCCACCCATATCCCATAAGATGGGATACGGGGTTGGTGGGGGACAGGGGAGGAGGGGAGAGAGAGGGAGGTGGGATTGACATGAAAAAAAAAAAGGCTTGTTTCTAATTTAAATTAAAAAAAATAGGAAAAAAAACCCTCCAAGCATTGACTATGAAGAAAATAGTGCATGACTTCAGAAAATATATGGCCCAGAAACCAATGCAGGAATGAGGAGATGGCTCTGATGGCTCATAATTCAACAGCTCAGAACCTGCATGAGAAAGCCTGAGCAATGGCATGTACCTATCAGCTACACACTAGAAAAATAGACAGGAAGACCACAGGAGCATTCTGGACAGCCAGCCTAGGCATACCTCTGAGCTCTAGATTCAGTGTGAGACCCTGTCTCAAAATATAAGGCAGAAAGCAACTGAAGAAGACACACAGATACTGACCTCTGACCCCCAGATGCCTGTACACCCACCAGCACAACACACACACACACACATACACATACACACACACACACATACACACACACACGTATGCTACCATCAATCAATTTGTTTGTGATCATGAAGAAGATATAATAAAAACATTAATATTAGATACTCAATGATGTTGATCTTAGTTGACAGAAAAAATACATTCAAAGTCAAGGGAAAGACTATAATTAAAACCTTTATAAAGTTGAGAGCTTGTATTTATTCAACTAAGTGCCAAAAACATTTAGCTCAATAATATAGAGTCTTGTAGGTATCTTCCTACCTGCCAGGTCTATATGCATAGACACAGGACATATTCTAAGGAATTCTAAAATTGTGTGTGAAGGAGAAAAAAATGACTAACTCAAATCTAACTAATTATAAATCTAACTATATAAGCTAGCTATAAATAATTATAATAAACAAATAAACTAATTAATATATAAGTAAACTACAAATCTATATAAACATTTGATAGGAAGCAATCTAATTTGAGTATTGTTTTTAATTTGATTTTGCATGTCTGTAACCTAATTTTTATCCTCCAGCTTCTTGGACATACCTACATTGTACATACTGAGCATGGTCACTAACTTTCTAAACATTCTGACAAAGAAAATGTAGTAGAGCTGTGTGAAAACAACTTGGGTAATGTCAGGTTGTCCAAACCTCACTTCAGATAAAGCAATAACAACAACAACCATCCACTGTGCAATCAGACACATTTAGAAATGTGTCATAGAACACAGGTATTTTTCTTGTTACTGCTGATGCCACAATACATACACAGCATTATTTGGAAAATAATTTGGCACTACAATATCACCGCTACATGAGATGCAGATAATATTTTTCCTATCTGTTACTACACATTGTGGATAAAAATTGGGTCACGGCATATGTACAAGTGAAGAAACGATCCATTTTTCTTATTTACCCGTGACTCAAAGCCCAAGATAGAAATCTGTAGAGATGGCTCAAGGGGCATCAATTCCTCTTCCAAAGGACCCATGTTTGATTCCCAGCACCCATATGGCAGCTGACAACTTTAAGTCCAGTTTCAAGGGACCCAATGCCCTATCCTGGCCTCTGCAGACACTGCAGGTATGTGGTGCTCAGATATGCACTCAGGCAAAAACACCCATGTACATAAAATCAAAATTGAATTAAATTCATTTATTCAAAAAAACTTTCAGAAACATGAAATTTTCCTCAGTGTGATATATTCCAGTGAGGACGGGCATAAACAGAGTGCCAGGAAATTCTCTGTCCAGTGGTTCAAGGATAATTGAGAATACTATTGAGATTATTCTTCCGAAAGCCAATCATCCAAAAGTCTTAAAGCACTTGAATTATTCTTTATGCCTTTCCCCCATGAGATTAAAAGTATGCCATGACAATGAAGCTCTCAATCCATACCAGATTTTTATGTAATGTGCATTTTGAGAACATGTGTTTGCAGTAATACAAATGACCACCCCAGAATGAAAGGAATGAAAGCCCCCTCAGGGATTTTATTGTCTGTCTGGATTAAACTACAGCTCGTCAAACAAAGCATGTCTTACAAGATGCTCCAGAAGAACATGGGGGGTGGGTGGGCAAAGACTCATTAAAACAAGAACACAGGCATGAAGATCATAATAGGAGAACAGGCTGGGAGGAGTCCTAATGACTGTCATGTGGACCCACTGAGAGCTAAATCATCTTATGGGATATGGGTGGCACATGTAGATGCTGCAGGGCTGGAGGTAAGGATAGACACAAGCATTTCTATATGACCACTTAACAGTGCTCTGGGCATCATAAACTCATGTTAAACTTCTTTCTACTCTAAGAATTATTTCTACCCATTGTCTCCATATATTGATAACACTCTACACCAGTTAAAAGTTCCTAAAGGGATCATCATTGACTTCTAAGAGGTCAGGGAAGCAACAGCAAAGCTGTGCAGATGAATATCCAAGTTTGTTAGAACTGACCAATCAACGTAATAAACTAGTTCAGCACTTCTGAGATCATAATTCTAGTTGGATAGTGGCATAAAACAGAAATCCATACATACATAAACAAATCCAATGTGATAGGTACTTTTACACATACAAATGCACATGCTTTAAGCTGAGTTGGCCAGTTTCTTATATATTTGTCTATTTTTTTCAGTGATGGATTCTCATCTCCTTGAGAAGTATTTGACAGAAAGTAATACTGTGGAGGGAATTATATAGTCCGTTATAATATGGCAAAAGTAGCAATAAGCCTCGGAATGGAATAAACTGGTGTATGACTAAGACTATGAAAGGGGAGAGGCCTTCCTCACTGTGGAAACTTTGGCTAAGACTCTGAGGTATCTGTAGTTATAGTTGCTTACTGCGGTTCTATTTTGTGTAAGGCAATGGAATAAATACTACAGCTACCACCACAGAAAATTCCAAGTAACCTATCTTTGGTGTGCTCAATCTGATCTAAATAATCAGATGTTTAGTAACTAAAATTTTATAAGAAAGAAGCAAAATTTGAGGCAGAAAAAGCTCACAGTATTAGTTAACTAAAAAGCAAAAGGCCTCCTTGAAGTCACATCCACTCAGCTGTTTTTTTTGGGGGGCACAATAATGACTGAGGCTCTAAGACCCTACAAAGAGAAAACTCATGCAGGAAGAAAGTTCCAGAACATCTATTTACAAAGCTTCATGACACAAAGAAAATATCAACAGGTGTTAAATACATCGCAAACTGTTTTTTCACTACTCAGCTAGAAATACCTATCACCCTAGAGTCTCTCCCTCCCCAGCACTCTGGT